AATGTAGTAATTATTATAATTGGTTACAACAGTTTCACAGGCAGTTGACAGAGATTGTCCATAGTTCCTTAACCCATTCTCTTCTACAAACAAGCTACCATTTGTGGTAGCGGAGGATAGATAAACAAATGAATTTGTGAGCTGATCAACATCCAAATTTTCTCCATTCGGTCTCTCCTTTCGCTTGTTTCGATAGTCCATTAGAATGGACTTAATTTTATCTGGTCCAGCACGAACTATTCTTGAAATGGTATACCAAAAGTTTTGCTCAAAAAAGTCGTTGGTCAACTTGTTTGGATGTTTCAATATAAAGTAGTTCACAAACAGCTGTGATTTCAATAGCACTTCCCTGATAAAACCTGATATTGCCTTGATCTTCTCCAAGGAGTTGGCTTTTTTGGGAGTCTCTCTACAGAAGCTTGCAAAAGGAATGGAAACAGTGTACCTTTGATGATTTGAACCAAGTTTGTTTTGTAGAAGCTCATCTAATTTCAGGTTGTAATTCCTACAAGCGCGACTTCTTGCAGATTTTTGCCCCTCCTGTTGGCAAGAACTACAGATTATTCTACTTGTAGAGGATGATGCTTCGGAGGTAGCTGCCTGGCGTCTTCTCTTTACATCCTTTATTGCTTTTATTACATCAGAAGTATCTTTTCTCTTGGTACCTTTATGCAAATTAGCTTGTGAGACATTAACAATACACCAAGTGTTTCTTTTTACCTGTCCTTTTTGGATTTTAGGCAAGTAAGGTATCTGTGTTATTATTGGATTGGGTATTTTCTATCTTTGTGCGTCTTTTTAGAGCAATGAATTGTTCCACTTCAGGATAAATAGGTATACGAGGCATTAAAGATTAGAAAAAGTTGAAAAAAAAGATAAAGAAAAAGAGATCAAGACAGCATTCTATTGATATTTCTTGTTGTCACTTATAAATAACGAATGAATTATTGTAGGCTATGGTGCGTTCCCCTTAAAATCTGAAATTCAGTTTTCTTTGACTCAGTTTTTGTTGAGTTATCTTTTCTTAAATGAAAATATACTGAGTAAATCTTTTTCAGAATTTAAACATCCATCGATTCCACTCACGAAAAACGCGTAAGGTGGGTTTGAGAGGAACAATCACAATTTTAAAAATTTCCCTTAGTAAAATTTAAGGCTTTAGAGAGGAACGCACCATAGGCAGAGTTTAACTCAAGAGTGTGATCAATTGAGCTAATATAATCTACAGAAATATCCAAAATCATAATCAATGTCTAATCAAGCCTTAAGGAACGCGTAATTATTATTCTTTCTTGTACATTTGTTTTTCTTCTCTTTATTTCGCGCATTTAACAGCATTCAGTGCAAAATTTACACAATTATGTCCCAGTTCAGAAACATCGACACTTCCAGTGGTACCCACAATACCGAAGTAGCCCTTTGTCGCGAAAAAAAGTACAATAGAATAAACACTGAGATGAGGAAACTCATTATTGGTGAACGAAGGTCAAAATTGGTGAAACTCTCAAGAGGTATTCAACTTGTCTGAAAACTAATGTTCTTTTGTATCTGAATTTCCTTTTTTATCTTGTCTAAAAAAAGGTAAGCAAATGTTTAAAAATTAATTTTGATTCGTCTGAATTTAAAGTGCGAATACTGTATTTTTTACACCTTTTTCTCGTTGAAATGTCTAATGATCAATATGTGGATCCGACCCAACGCATGGCTGAAAGCACCATGCGTATAAAAGACCTTTATCAAGTGGAAAGAGTAAATAGAAGTACAAATTATTCTTGATGCAAGCGTGTAATATCTGAAATTGGTTTAAAATAGAAACTTGTGCTATTAATCGAGACAGCTGGTGATGCCTTGGCTATTTTACCAGAAGAAGAAGTAAAGGATGAAAATCCAGATCAGTTTGTTCGTGAAAGAGCCTTGGCTTTTCGTCAATTGGCCTCTCGTTATTTTTCTCTTGTTAATGTAAAACACATTCAATTCAACTCAAATTCGACTCACAACTTTGTGTTTTAGGATATACAACTAGCCCTGAGAAGTCACGTGAATTATCTAACAAAGACAGCAAGCTTCACACCTGTTGCCAATAAAACAATACCGTTTAAGACTTCGATTGTTAACCAACAAAAACAATTGGAAATATGGGCAGAAGCGATAAAGGCAATTCAGCAACAAATACAAGAAATTAAACAAATTGGACAAGAGCAATAGACCCTTTTATTCTTTCAAGAACCGTATATCCTTCAATTCTTCAGGTAGATAAGTTTGATCTACTGGCTCATCATAATCAGGGTTATACTTGTATCCCTTCCCATAGTTCAAATCCTAGTGATCAAATCTATTAGCATCACGTGTATATAATTATACAATAAATCTTACCTTCATCAGTTTAGTAGGTGCGTTACGAATATGTAATGGAACAGGATATGCTGGCTTTTGTCGGATAGTCTCTTTGACAAGATTATAAGCTTTATATGTCCTCACACTCTTTTTAGTTTCAGCAAGATGAACTACGAGATGTGCAAGGATGGTATCACATTCAGGCATGCCAATTCTTTCACAAGCTTGATATGCTGCTACTGCCTAATATCATCATCATTATTGTCATGCATTGTCTTCCCCCCCCCCTTTTTTTTTATTAATTACCAAAGGAAGAGCAGAATTATCAGCTAGGCCAATATCTTCACTAGCACACCTAATGAGACGTCTAGCAACGTACAATGGATCCTCTCCTGCTTCTAGCATTCTTCCTAACCAATATAGAGCAGCATTGGGGTCACTATCATTAAGATATTTAATAAAGACAATCCAAGAGTAGGGAACATGATTACCTTCCACGAATACTTTTATGTAATGCACTGATGATATCATAATGTTGATCTCCATTTCGGTCGTAGAGTAAATGTGATTTCTGAAAAGCACCTTCGAGAGTTCCCCTTATTTAGCTTTTATCATACTCGTCACTTCTTTTATTTACCTTTTACTGTCTCTGCTGTAAGTTGGGATTCTTTGGATGGAAGTAAATTCAATGCAGTTTCAAGTGTATTTAACGCATGACGAGCTATACATACAATTGAAGGATTAGCTATAGCACACATATATACATAAGCCCTGTGACTATGTACCATCACCATCGCTATAAATAGCTAATTGTCTGATACCCTCTATTTCTTGTTCACCTAGCTGTTCGCTACCTTTCCAATGCTGCAATGCTCTTGTCAAAATAACCTCGATTTTCTCTTGATCTAAACGCTGCAGTACAAAGACTCTACATCTCGACAAAAGAGCAGAGTTTACTTTGAAGCTGCGACTGGTTAAGTTACTTGTTCTCTCTCTCATTCACATCATTTTATTTTACCTAGGATTCTCTGTAGTTGCACCTATCAAGCAAATGGTTCCATGTTCTACGTATGGTAAAAATAAATCCTGCTGTGCCTTTGTGAACCTATGTATTTCATCTATAAAAATGATCGTCTTTTGGCCCGTCAAAAAAAGGTGCCCCTTTGCCTCATCAAACGCCTTTTTAACATCTGCAGCACCGTGACTTGTAGCACTTAGTTCAATAAACCTTGACTTTGTCATTTTAGATATGATTCGAGCAATAGTCGTCTTTCCGCAGCCGGGTGGGCCCCAGAGTACCATGGACGGTATACGATCGTTGTCAATAAGAGATCTTAGTACGCCATGAGGGCCCAAAAGCTCTTCTTGTCCTACGAATTCGGATAGGGTCGAAGGGCGGACTACATTGAGTAAGTGAAAAGGGGAAAAAGAAAATAAGTGACTATAAAACCTTTGGCAGCTAATGGCATTGCATCCATCGCAGGGTTTGGCTTCTTTCGTTTTGAAAACACTGGAGATTCTTCCAAAGCACGTTTCGATGAACTACTACTCTCGGTTGAACTAATGCTTGTTTGTACTCTTGACTTGGACACAAACAATGGAGCCATCCTAGTAGAAGTTTGACTGGTATCCTGTTGTATAGTACTATTATTTTTAGGCTCTTCAGGTTGCTCAGTATCCTTTTGCTGTACATTAGTGAAATTATTAGATGTTGAAGGAAGTGGACAGTTGGCATCGATGTGTGCATTGATCGTGGCTGCTTTCACCCATCGATTGCAAATAGGACATTGTACTTTAAACGAAATAAGTAATGCAATATCTTGTGTACGCATTGAAAAGAAAACCTTTTTCTGAATCACTGCTCATAATTGTGTCAAGAGATAAAGTTATGTTATGCTCCAGGAGGGATTCCTTTTTGCAAGCTTCCTAATTTAGATTCAGCACAAATAAAATGATAGATTTTGTCTTGTGCTTAAATGTTAAGGTTGGTGAGGGACTCGTTTGGGTGACAATGTGGAGTTGTAGTGTGATTAGTAGCTGAAGAAGGGAAATACTCCCATAGTATTCATATGGTGATCATGCTGAAATATATCACTATACGGTATACAACGATAGAACTCCGGAATCTTGTACATGATTCATATGAACAGTATCAATAAGGCTCATCAACAAAAGAAATGCTTGTTTTGTATGGTTTCTTGAAAAATATTCAAGGCTTTCATGTAGATGTTATCAGTTCTATATGAATAAGCGTAGGTGTGACTATTTCTCTCTTGTGAGAATACTAATTGGGTGAATCTGACAAAAGAGTATATCTAATATAGAGTCGATACTTTAAGGCGATTTGGAATACGTTCGCACAGGCTACATATATATAATAAGCTCGGAGTCAATTGCTTTGCTGATAAATCATCCATAGAAACAAGAATATTGAAAAAATACATGTGTAAAAAGAATAATCAAGTTTATTGAAGTTTTATTATACTTTGACATTGTGAGGCTTCTTTAAGCTGTTCTTGGGGTTCATTATCCCTTTTTCGAATGTTTTATAATAGTAATTTTTCGTCCACCACGACCACGACCACGGCCACGACCACGACCACGACCACGACCACGACGACCATAACCACGAAAACGGATTCTTCTATGTCTACCTTTTGATACTCTTCTTCGTGCCAATGCTGCCGCCAATTCACTGTCCAAATTATCTAAAGTCGAATCTTCAGTACTTTCATCAGGGCTACCAAGCAGGCCTAGATCATCAAAGCCAGGAGGAGCTTGTTCACCGACAGGAATAACGGAGTCTGAACCATTAGCACTGGGGTCACCTTGAGGAGAAGGAGTAGCAAAGCCAATAGCGGCAAGAGAAGCACAGATAGTAAGAACAACAAGCTTGATTTGCATTTGAACAGTAAAGTATAAATCCAAAGAACTGTAACAAATATTGCCCCTCTTTTATATTAAAACAGATTCATGTAGACACTGTTGCCATGGCCATTTACTATTGGCTATGAGTACATTTTACCATCCTTGGTTATATGGATGTACTCTGTGTCTGTCTATTTTGTTGATCATTTATTCATAAATGCATAGACTACAGGAAGCATATTAGCTGTATGCAGATCTGCTCCTCAAACCAGCTTTTCTTCATGCATTAATTTGCTTGCACTGACAATATAGACTTAAGAGATAAAAGCACATGTAAGCATACGAAGAAATACAATGCATGTCTGTTCAAAGATGATGCATACACCAGCAACATGTATTTTCGTCTTCAACTACTAATCACACGGCAACTCCAGACTGTTGTCCAAACGAGTCTCTTACCAGCATTTATTTAGATAAACAACAAGCCTATTTATATGTTTTTGCTAGAGAGCAATTTTTTACCTAAAGGAATCTATTTGTTCCTGTGAAGCAAGAATGCAAGCGACTCCAGTACTATTGAGTAATTATATGTTCAAAGATACATACAAACTTTGAGGCTTCCACCTCACAGGCAAATATGTATCCAGATTCATTCCAACAATACCAGTTAATTTTCTCAACCATTCAAGTCAAAAGAATAAGCCAAAAAAATGTTCATCATTTTACTTTTCGTCTCTTTTACATTTTATTCACAAATTATTCGTATATTGATAAAAAAATGATAATTTCAGACAACAAATAATGATAAAAGAGAGCCCATCAGAAGCAAAAGAAATGATTAGTAAATCAGCTATTTACATTGATATTAAATACTTACATTATAAAGAAGAGAGTTTATAAGAGAATAAGAGAAACAAGAAGAGTGAGTAAGCTTTTAAAAAAGATTATTAATATCTTATCCAAAGTGCATTCTGGTTTGGGCTGACGATAACCAGCTCGGAAAGAGCAGAGAAAGAAGAAAACGAGAGCAAGGAAGAGAGCGGCCAAAGGAGCGGAAGGGGTTGAAAGAGTGTATGGGACCAAAGTTTGGTAAGAACCAAATTATCCCCAGCCAACGCCGATACTGTTTCGATTTTATGATCTATAATACTACATATCAGTTTCTTACAAGAGTAAAGAATATAACATATCTTAGGACTAGCTGGGGAATAGCTGGTCTTACTTTTTGATCCAAAGAAGAAAAGAAGTTAAGATCAGACTATTTAAACAAGGTCTTTAACAACTTTTTCAGTTACGCCTTAATCATAAGTGTTGACCACATTTATCTTCTCTTCTCTTAGAAATATCAAGTACATTTTATGTATTATTACATGTTGTCTTTTAAACAATAAAGAAGACATAGAAAATCAATTAAAGTGTTGATTGCTATTGATCTTGTAATGTGTGCAAATAATTCCTGAAAAAAGTGTATATTTGTACAAGAAAAGAAGAAACACAAGAAAAAGAAGCTCATGACTTGTATATTTTCTTCGTTTCTGGCGACTTTTACCTTTCCTTGGCTGAAAAAGTTGCAAGTTGATCAACGTAAAAGCTTTAATGGCCGGTTTGCTCTGTTAAAAAAAAAAAGAATATAAGAGCTACTTGCTTTTACTCTTCCTTATGGAAATAGCCTCTTTCGTTGAACACAAGATAAGCAAGTTAAAAAGATGCTGCTTTTTCAGTTATCTGCAAAAGCCAGCCTGTAGTCATTCATACATGTCTTGATGCGTCTGTCCTTAAAGCTTTACCAATTCAAGAGAATCACAAAGAAGCAAAAGAAAGAAGCAAAAAGGAAAATAAATATATTCTTCCTACTTTCTCAATTAAACTTCTTATATTAGGGATTTTGCATATTTAATATTCCTCAGTAACAAAGTGTATGAAATTCTAATTATTTCTGCCCTTCGCTTTTTGAGTCATGCTTTATTTTTCATATATAATAGTAATAAGCAAATAACCCTTCTTTTTCATTTCGTTCTATGCTTACATACATAGATTAACTACATAACTGACGTACCAAATGGTTTGTGTAAGGAGGCAAAATCAAAGCTTTTTATTTAATCAAATTTATTTAGATTATTCAATCCGCTGTTGCTCGATTGTCAGTGTCTTACAACCTCCTTGAATCAATACTTCACCAGGGTTAATTAGTGCAAGGGCTGCATTCAGAGGTCTGCAGCCCTGAAGCCATGCTCTTCCTTCAAATGCACCGTATATCCAGGATTGCAAAGATTCATTACCATACGTATAAAGCGCATATGGAAATTCTTCTGCGAGATTAACAACACTACATCCGTCGACACACTGAGAAACGTATAAAGGTATTGCCATTTCCTCAGCCGTTTCTTCGCACCTATGCACATATGACATATTTACATACGCTCCGAGATCCACTTGCAATTCGTCACCTGTAGGGTATAATAGGATAGTGTCAACCGCAATATACTTTGGCTCTGATCGAACATATAAATACTGAGCCGGGAGCACATCGGGTGGTTGCTCTGTAACTACTGTGAACTGGCCTTTCTTCAATTCATGATGAATTTCAGGCCTTGGGCCGAATACTAGACAGGCAAACGTATGTGAACCGGCTGCTATGTGACCATCAAAGCTAACCAAAGGAGATCCTGTTGTTCCTGGTTTCACCGCATGCCTTAAACCGTGAATTTGGCCATCCATTTCAAGCCCTAATACTGTGCCTTCATCCACATGTGGAACATCATCACCTGAGCGCAATATGTACCAGCTGGTCAAAAAGGCTGAAAGTCCAAAATTATCATAAGAAATGAGCTCCTTTAAACCTTTGATTGTCCGTTGTAAATCACCATTAAAAAGGCATTGATCAATAGCCATACCAGCTTTTTTCAAGACCCCACCAACATACACGGAAATGAGCATGTTGAGAAATACCACAGTACGGCAGCCCACATATTCGTGATGAGACGCCCTATGCAACATGCTTACACAACTTCCACCACAAGCCTTGCAATTTTCCGCAACTACCATACCAATGTTACTCACCATATCTCCCAGGGATTTTATTGCACCTGTGCGTGCCAATACGCAAAAACTTGGAGTCATTACAACTGTACCAGGCGCATCACCGTTTTCGATTCCAAGAAGTGTGGTGTTTGCAACTTCGTTGTCCAGCCACTTTACCAATTCTTCCAATGATTCTGCTGGTACTCCACATAAGCGAAAAAAATAAGACCGTTCATCGTAATAGAACAAATTATAATCGCTTTCCCGTACTGATGGCTCCAATTTGAGTTCTCTAAAGCCTTCTTCGTCTTGTGTGTAAATTCTCGGGCCTGACCCAAAACCTAGAGCCATAATCTTGCAAAGATTGACTTGAGCTAAGCCAAATGCCATAGCAGCAGTATAAATATCAGACACTTCCAATGCTGCTTCAGTACCTTCCTTAGCTAGCCGTACCAGATCACGAATGGCTGTAGTTTTACATTGCTTTAACGGTGGAAACTTCTTTGACCATTTTCGCCAATTTGGGTCATCTTTTATAGAGCCACCTCTTATCCAAATCTCATCAACAATGTTTGAAATATGATGGATGGCCTGTCTTCGATTTATATTCATTGGTCCGGGCGGGAGTATTCCATGGACAAAACCTTGTCTGACCCTATGTCCAGCATTGATATCACCTGCTGCAAGCACGCGTCCACAGAACAGAATCGCGTTAAATATTGGCATCGTCGTTGTCCAAAACTCGAACGATACACTTGGATTTGTAATCAGTAATTGCCCCTCTGAAAGCTTTTCGTAGCTTTCATACTTGATAGGTTGTCCAAAGTTAACAAGCGGCTTCAGAACTGGTAAGTAATAGGCAAGAACTGTGATATCTGGAGCATCTCTTGTTCGTGTGCCTCCCCATAAACCAGTGGCCAGTTTGGAGACACCTACACCTAATTCGGCAATTGTTTTTTCCAAATTAATGGTCATCTTGGCAACTCCAAAATTTAATTCCAAGGACGCTGCTGAAACCATCGACAGAGCCAAATCCTTTACTTTGGATTCCCCGGTGTTCAGTAGCTGATCTTCTTTAGTTTGTTCTGCTCCTACATCTCTGGTGCTGTCGATGGAAGGAAATGTAGTTAATATACCCTCATCCGCAGGAAGACCGGGTTTCAATTTTAGTTGTTCCATCAAATCGTCTGCTTTACGACGATTCACTTCATGCAGATGATCAAGCTGCTCTCCTTTATATATCAGAGAATTTGGATCAACGTTACTGTAAAAAACAGATGATTTATTAATCATGGCTATAAAACCAAAAGAAAAACTTTGTTATGACTAGATAGCCTTTATCTGCATCATGTTTTGAGTTTTTTAAAGCCACCTTGTATATCGTTACGCATGTATACTTTGTTCAAATAGATAACTTGTTCTCAGAAGTAAATGATAAATTGATGCAACATGTAATATTATCAAGGAAGACAGTGAACAACAAAAAAACGGAGAAAATATTCAATTATGTAAAAGAAAGGAAACAGTGGTCCGAACAGTTCATCTTCTTCTAAGGGCTCCACAGATTCAACCCCAGTTGATAGATGAGGACAGACGTCTGCTACTCATCATCTGATAAATATAGCCAAATAGATAGAGTTCGTTATTTACGGTGTGTTGTACTCGGGTTAACTTTACCTCGTGACTTAAAATATAACCGGTTTTTTATAGATGGAAACACTTCTACTACTTTGATAGCTTTTGGGGCCAACTTATGCTTTTAAGCAATATAAACTCTATACAAGGAGTGGGCTTAATTGTATAGTAGTACAGTCTGACTGATTCAGAAGCTGTAATTGATTGACGACCAATTTCTTTTTTGATACGAATCTCTTCCATCTCTTTGTATTTCTATTTTTTTGTCGAGTTAAAACTATTTATTCGACAATATCACGGAACGGAATATTGTGGGTTGATGAAAGAAGCAAATAAAATTACAACTGCAATAAGGAAGGAGACCATAGAAACAATAGGTACTGAGTATAAAGAAGACGAAGGCTATAAGGATTATAAATAAATCGCCAATATTGTGTAGGTTATGCATGACGTTTAATAAGCGCTTTTCGGTATACGGTGTGCTTTTAGCGCGTTTGTATAATAATTAGATGCTCATATTAAGCATACAAAAAGCCCTGAAGGAGGTCGTCAAACATTTGGCAAATTATTCAAATAGTGACGATCAGGAAGGTTATGAGAGAATGAACTTACTGTACAGTATGTAAGCTTCATAGCGTTGTAGCGGTTTTATTGCTGAAACATGTTTATTAGAATTCAAAAATGATCCAAGTACGCTGAAAGAGCCATTATGTATTAGCCAAATCATTGTCTATAATGGATACCTCATAGAGTCGAAAGAACTAGCTATCAAACGCAAATCTATGCAAAATAGCACCCTCTACTATGACTATGGTCTTTCTGGTCTTTGTGAACAAACCCAGTTACTTCAACACGGACAAGTGTAGTGTTGTAGTTGTTGTTGATGTATTAGTGTGAATTACCAGAAAGTACAATGGGACTCTTTACGTTTCGTTTATTTTAGAAGAATAAAGATGAAGGTATTAAAGTTGATAGTTACACGTTTTATATAAAAATGTAATTATTATTATGATTGGTCAGTTTATGTTACTGAGCTTTCGTTATTGATATGTAGATACTGCTTATTGACCCTTATTCAACGTAGAATACGACAGCAAGTTCATTGTATTAATAGGAAAAAAAAAAAAAAAGCTTGAGAAATTGACTTGATTGTCGATAATCAAGCAAATGGTTGTTTCATACTTTTTCCTCTTTTTTGACCAAGCAAGTTTTATAATTTACTAGGGTTGCTCAGGGATTTAGTTTTATTAGGCTTGGGCTAAGGAGCAACTAAATAGAAAAAAATGAATGCTGTGTAGAATAAAGTTGCATTTCGGAAGTTGATATGTCCAAAATGGAAAGTAGTAAGTTTAGAATTTATTCCCACAGACAAAATGGGTAAGCTGTCTGTGTTGTGTTTGGAGTCCTTTTTAAGCTATTGATAACACCACTGATCTCGAGTAACACAACAGAGAGAAAGAGAGAGCTGACAAGCTTATGCAAACTAGCTGCTATGATTATATCAGTTATGTTGGACGTATTACATCAGTGTTGGCTTAATTCAGCTAGAAAGAAAGAACAAACCAACGTTGACAATGGGTCATTCATCACTGTTTATTGTTGTTAGTCGTGTTATCAACATTTATATATTTTTGGTTAATGCAATACATCATCAAGCTTATTCTTGTACTCCCTTTTTCAAACATCTTAGTCCTCCTCTGCCACTAGTATAATTGAAACGATGGCAAGACCATGAATTAGACTGTAGTAAAGAATAGAAACTATTATGCAAAAGTAACGTGGTCTGATCAAAAAATCTATGCATGAATTTCTGTTACTTTCCTAAACTGAAACAATAGAATATCTGAATATCAAAAGGTGTATATGCTCTCAATATCTCTCCTTCTTTTTGTTGATTTGACGCTACTTTAAAATACACCTTTATGCCTTCATTCAAATGCTAATGTATGATATTCGGACAGTGAAATATTATATAATCAAGCTGAAGGTAGAGTTCTAACCAGTTTAGTCACTAGATACCCACAAGTGATTTAATTTCCTTATAAAGAACAGCATTCGCACGATATTTATGGTAGATTTGTCAGAAATGAACAAAGTGTGGTGCGGAGCTAAAACAGCCATGCTCACCAAAATATGTCAACAGCACATTACAGTATAACTTTTGCTTACACCACTTGAATATACAAAAGTATCAATGAATATGAACATTTATAGACCATCTTAAGAAAGGGGAAATGGCCTTATCACTCAATAGGATCTCAGGATACCTTTATTTCTTTAAGATACAGAATAGGATCGGAGTTAGTCAATACTATCCTAACCCCCTCGCATATCCAGAAATCCAGGGTTTACAGAATATAGTTTCTATAAACACAGAGTTTGGCCTGTTGGCACTACAAAAACATCTCAGGAGAGAAAGATCATCGCCATTGGTGACGATATTGAATCGTTAATGCATCTACTCATAGACTGGACGCACTAGTAGTGCCTTTCTAGCTCTGTTCCCCTTTTTCATGTTCACGCGGGTTTTGAATGCGGTGGCTTTCCCTTTGCTGGTCTGAGGCTAGTAATGACAAATAAGTTGGTTATCTATTCCATTGACTCGTCAATTGTGTTTCTCCCACTACTACTTCCTTTATTGTTTATTACATTTCTCATTGGTCTTGATTTGTCACTGAATTCGATGACGGTAAAAAATATAAAAGCAGCTTCTTTTTGGCACTTCTTCTTCTTCCATATCATTATTTTTGTCTCTCTTCCCCTTTTCTTTATTTACCGTCATGTCTGCTGTCAAGGAAATGAAAACTGTCACTGCTGCTACGACCAGCTCAAAAGTACACCCTCTAGATCAACTTTCTGGCGATGAAATCATTCAAGTCGCTACTATTGCACGTCAAGCCAAACCCGAGATTGACTTTGTATTCAACACGATCACCTTGAAGGAGCCCAAGAAGGAAGTAATGCTCTCTTATCTTGGTTGGGATAACTCTAGGCCTCGTGTTACTCAAGTTGAGCGTGAGGCTCTTGTTGTTGCTTTGGAAAAGAAGACCATGAAATGCTTTGAAGGCCTTGTCTCGTTGACTCATGGCAAGCTCAAGTCATGGAAATACATCCCCGACGTTCAGCCTATCTTGACTATGGATGAAATGTTTGAAGTAGAAGAGCTTATCTTGAAGGATGAAAAGGTTCGTCAGGAATGTCTTGAACTTGGCATTACGGATATGTCTTCCGTCTTTGCAGACCCTTGGGCTATTGCTCGTCATGTTGCTCATCCTGGTCGTGAGAAGCGTATGATGCAAGCACTCATGTACATGCGTACATGTGAAGATGATAACCAGTATGCTCATCCTTTGGATTTTGTCCCTATTGTTGGTAAGTCATGCTCTTTTAAAAGAAATACCAGTATACTGATTATGTTATATATAGATGTCGGTAAAATGGAAGTTGTCTCAATTGAACGCATCAAGCCTAGAGACTCCAAGTTCCGCCGTCCTACTATTCCTCGCCAAAACCACAACTTCTTGCCTGAATTTATTGGAGAAGAAAACTTTCGAAAGGACGTCAAACCCATCATCGTTCAACAACCTGAAGGTGTTTCCTTTACTGTAAAAGGTAACGAAATCGATTGGCAAAAGTGGAATATGCGTATCTCCATGAACTATCGTGAAGGTCTTGTGATTCATAATGTCAGTTATCAAGATGGACCTGAGAAGCGTCCTCTCTTCTACCGTATCTCACTTTCTGAAATGGTCGTTCCTTATGCTGACCCTTATTCACCTCACTACCGTAAACACGCATTTGACGTAGGCGAATATGGTCTTGGTCTCTGTGTGAACTCTCTTGCTGTTGGTTGCGATTGCTTGGGTTCCATCTATTACTTTGATGCTACCTTTAATGATCATGAAGGTAAACCTTTCCATGTGCCTAATGCTATCTGTCTTCACGAAGAAGATCATGGTATTCTCTTCAAGCACACGGACTATAGAAATGGTAGAGCACACACTGTTCGTTCTCGTCGTTTGGTTATTTCTCAAATTGTTACAGGTAAATTATAATAAGAGCATAAGGTATTCTGTATCACTAATATATGTCTGTAGTTGCCAACTATGACTATGGTCTTTACTACTATTTTTATCAGGACGGCTCCTTCCAGTATGAAGTCAAAGCAACGGGTGAATTGAACACTCACGTCTTGGCTGAAGATGAAACACCAGGTGACTATGGTGTCATGGTTGCACCTCAAATCAATGCACAACATCATCAGCACTTCTTCACTATGCGTATTGATCCTATGATTGATGGTGTGAATAACTCTATTGCTAAAGTCGATGTTGAGCGTCTTCCTTATCCTACTGGCCATCCTCGTAACGAATTCGGTAACGGCTTCAAAGCGGTGACAACTGTCTTGCATGACACAATCGAAGGTCAACAAGATGTATGCTATGAGAAGGCCCGTTTCTGGAAGATCATAAATGAGAACCGTATCCATCCTTATGCCAAGACCCCTGTTGCCTGGAAGCTCTATTCTCACAGTCAAACACCATTCTTTGCTCAAGATGACTCCGTTGTCGGTCAACGTGCTGGATTTGCCAAGAAGGCACTTTGGGTGACACCTTACAATGAAGACCAGATGTTTGCTGGTGGTTTCTACTGTAATCAATCATCCGGTCATGACAATGTTGAAAACTGGGTCAAGCGAGGAGATGATATTCACAATAAGGATATTGTCCTTTGGTTTACATTTGGCGTCACTCATCTGCCTCGTGCTGAAGATTTCCCTATTATGCCCGTAGAAATGTGTGGTTTCTACATGAAACCCTGTAACTTCTTTATTGCCAACCCCGGTTTAGACGTCCCTCCCACCAACAAGAAGATCAACCAGTCTGTTCATATTAATCAAGCACAAGAAGGAGGTTGCTGCTCAACTAAACTCTAAACCACACACTTTACATATTCCCCTTTTCATTTCTTTTTTACACATGTTGCTGGACAATCCCTCACCACTTTATTGTATATTTAAAATAAACAGTTTTAAGATCTAATTAAACAGCAGACAAGGTCTTTTTTTTTTTTGGTTCCTGGAGAAAATGAAAAAGAGAGACATTTGAAGGGGTCTGTGTCAATTACTAAAAAAAAGAGTCGGAGCTTGATTCTCTCTTTCTTTTCCTGCTATTGCTTATGGACGAAGAAATAGTGCAAAGAATTGCCAATCTAGTCAATGTGTTAGCCTCACAACAGCAGAATAATCAGCAGTTAGCTCTTGATATATCAAAGCAGATACTAGAAGTCAAGGTAATAACAATAGGTCATCTCGCAAAGGTTTTGTTACATTAAATAAAATGTTAGCAAAAAGCTGGAACAGTTAAATGTTTGCCCGAAGGTGTGTGTGTGAAGGAAAGGAAGAGAAAAACTCGTCCAGACTAATTTCCGAGTAGATCAACCCAATACCATTCCAGGTTCTGTGACTCCAGAACAACGAGATGAAGTAATAGATTCCTTAAAGAGTCAACTGGTCAAGGCACTATCGGAGCAGGAAGCGATACGACAACGAAATCAGGAGTTAGAAAAGGAACGTGATGCGTTACAAAACTTGGTCAAGGAGTATGAAAATGGGCTTGAGACAGTTACGAACAAGCTTCGTGCATATGCAGTCAGTTTTACTATTTTATTCTTTACCTTGAGCTCACATGAGTCTATGATTAGAATGCAGCGGCAGAAGGCGAGATGCGTTTAAGGCGAGAGTTTAATGCACTACTTGAGGCAGAAAAGGTGAGTATTACACAAATGAAAGAAGGGGAGATATGAACACAGTTTATAGGGGACATCAGCTACTTTATTTACTGAAAATATACTACTCCAAATGCAACTCACACAATTAGCCAAAACGCTAAGAGTAGCTTTTGAGGCAAAATCACTTGATGGCTGTTATGAAGAAAAGATTGCACAATTAGAGCAAGAAAAAAAGAATTTTATGGATGTCTTGGGCATATCTGCGGAAGAATCAGAAACAGATGGGAATCGATCGCCCATCCTGCATGTCCCGCGTACAAGTGGCGTAATAGAAGAGTTTTTTGATGAATAAAAAACATGTCATTGAAGACAGAGAGATAGAGAGAAAGAGAAAGGCACGTTTAAACTCCGTATCTTTCTTTTTTTTTTTTTTTTTCATTCATTCTTTTTTCCTTTTTCCTTTTTCTTCTTTTCTTTCCTCTACTTTAAAATGTACTGTATGCGTTACTTTGTTCCATTGCTTTTATTACCGTTTCCTGATGCACCGCCTATTTTTGTCATTTTATTTCTAATTTCATTCTTTCTTCATCAAAAACCTTGGTAAGGACGACAGAAAAACGTGTTGACAGACAACAATTTATAGGCTAACTTTATGATTAGCATTTACTGTACAATATTACTCATTGCTTTATTCACTTCAACTTGTTATTGGGGACAAGGAAGATGTTGGGTTGATCTCCACCAATCTCATCTGTTTGATGCTCGTCAAGATTCAAATGCAACATTTAGTCAAGGAGACGGTTGGTGGAATTGGAAGATCACTTTACCCATTGGACAGTAACAACAACAACAATGTGTGTATTTTTGTAAATTTAATATTAAATAATACCCCCACACCCCCAGTTTTGACTGTACAAAAAATGCGATATATTTCACATGTAACAAAAATCAAGGGAATACCAGATCACAATTCACTATTTTTTAATTTCTTTTACTTTTTTTTTTTCTTTAATGAATGATATTTTAACTTCTGCAAGAAGATTGCCACAAAGGGTGATCATAAGAGTACTCAAGCGAATGTTTACCTTACCTGCACCAGCTGCTAGACTTATATTGAACGATATCATTAAACCTAAAAAGATACATAAGCAGTGGATATATCGTGTACGACGACGAGAGAATAAGGGATGGTTTGGTTGTTGGATAGGAGACAATTTACATAAGCTGGATCCAGTCAGTTTATTAAAGAGAGTTCATGAAGCTAATGTTATTCTCTTTTATGTTCATGGTTTGTATACATTAGAATAGAAGGCAGAGGATGCTCATTCATGTCTTAGGAGGATCATTTCGATTGGGTAACAGTACGATGTATATGGATACAAATATATCTTGGTTAAAGATGCTAAAAGAGAGGCATGGATTATCAGCCATGATTATGTCTGTGGATTATAGGCAAGCTTAAACAAAGGGCGTACCCCTTGCAGCTGAACTGACGCTTGAATTAGGCTGGCTCCTGAACATAAATTTCCAGGGCCAATAGAGGATGTTGTACGTGCATATGAATATCTTATCAGCAAAATAGAGGTTAAACCAGAGAAAATCGTCATTATTGGTGACTCAGCAGGAGCAGCCTTGTTATTAAACATGCTATTAATCACACATGATCCTACCTCGTTTGAAATGACCAAGCACCATCAAGCATTACCAAGACCAGCTGGCATCGTCTTATCTTCCCCTTTTGTTACAGATAAGACAGGTTCAGAGTCATGGAAATCAAACCAAAAGTATGATTATATCACAGAATATGGGATGAAGATTATCAAAAGAGATTGTTTTGAAGACATGCAAACGACAGAATATCCTATTTTGGATATTACTGCATTACAAACAGAGTTTTCGTCTTTTTTGTCAAGGAAGATGTTATGCTTTGTGGGTCAACTTGAAGTCTTTAGAGATGATACATTGACATTTGTAAACAGATTACAACAGGATGATATTGACTGTCAAGTAGTTATGGAGCAATGTGTGCATGACTGGTTTTGTGTACGAGAAGTGGTCAAGAATAAGAGTATCTTGCGAAATGCGGATGAAATCTTTGCTGACTATTGCTTTCAAACCATTCAAAGGCGCGCTGACAATAAAAAAGACATTATGGACAACGATAGTCATACTATTGCAAGTATTTCCAGTATTAGTTGTATCGACAGTGACTACAGCAGCATACTACATCGATATGAATCATCTTCCTTTACAGAGGATGATGACGATGATGCACTAGTTTATTCGATCATCAACTTTAGACTAAGTAAAACAAGTTTAAATGAACAAGATGACCGACCACCTTCCCAATGTTCCTCAGATATTGTATTTTTATAATAAATCTCATCACAATAAACCGTGGCTTGTATCATTATCATCACATGTAAATAATGTGCAGTTTCAACTTTGTATACAACAAAGGCTAAACAGAGAAAAGTAGTAGGAAAGAATGATGTAGGAGGAGCTCATAGTAATATTCTTTGGTGAATTTACAGATTGACCATAGAAGAAAGAAAAAGAGTGCAAAGGAGCGCTGGGACTCTTAATTAAAACGTTATCATGCTCTTTCTTCAGGTGAGCCATGTTTTTAATACTTACAAGTTGAGTATTTGCCTGTATGCTCTAAAAGTGCTTCATAAATTAGACAATGCCTCTAGATTACATTCAATTTTAAACATGACATACAGTGCCCCTCATACACTGGTATACCTTACTCATAACGGAAGAGAAAAGAAAAAGGTAATCATTATTTATATTTACACTGTATCGTAGTATAGATGCTGTTAACGTGACACTGATACAAACCTAATTTCTCAAAATCAACACATCTTGACAAAGTCGAGTAATTTCAACTATTCATAATGTCGCTTATTAAAAGTAGCTTTGTATTTCTGTTCTCGGGAAGAAGAGCAGTAGATACACTGCGAGTTTGTTAAAGCCGCGCCCTTTTCATTTCTGTACATCTATTAATAGCATACATATTTACTATAATAACATACTATTGATACATCAATTTGGATCAATGTTTGAAGGCTTCTTCTGATGAAACTTGTCAGGCTCCCTTTTCTTTCCCTTTTTAATGCCTCATTTTGAATATCCGACCAATGATAGTCATTTAAGTGATTCCCTTTTTTTTCTTTTGCTTTTCTCTCTCTTTTTATTATTCTTATTTATCTGAAATATCCAGTGGAATATGGATCCACCTCAAAAGATACCAAGGCGACGTCTAAGTCGTACAACGTCGTCTAAATATGGTGCTATTTCAGACGAGAATAAGAGACACTTAGAAGAGAATAGTAGTACTAGTCAACAGGATATCAATGGCCAAAGTCATAGTAGTGGTAGTCAACAGGAGGAGGACACCTCTAGTGACGAGCAATCGCCTCATCATCCTTTAGAACATGAACTGACGCTAAAGGACATTCAAGACGTAACGATATTCTACATTTTACCATCAGAAAAAAGAGACAAGAAACTGACACAAGCTTTTCATACTGTAGGCTATGAACAAGCAGCATCCGTTCGGTTTACCTCTTTGGAAACCTGCTTTATACAAAAAGTCTCGTTCAGTTGTTCGAAAAGCAAATAGCGCTCTTCATTCATCTCCGTCTTCCTCTTCCGAACTATTTTTGAATCCAGGCAATTTGCTATGGCTTCTCCTATTCGGTTGGTGGTTGGCGCTCATTATCTTTATTGTCTCTGTACCCTTTATTGTGTTTCATGATGCCTATGGTATGATTATGCGTGAACTCAGCTTATATCTCCTTTGGCCATTTGGACGATATGTAGAAAGGCTCATAGATATTACGCCTTCTATTATCAATGATCTGGAACGAGAACAGACAGAGCATTCTTTATTAATAGACGATAATGATGAATTTGAGACAGAAAGAGACGGATTGTTACACGGTCATAAAAAGAAAAAGAGATATAACTGGTTCCATGCAGTTGCAGAGACGCTCAAGTTGGGTCCTGCCGGTTGTTTGTACTATATAGTATTTTATACTGTAATCGGCCCACTCCTAATGTTGGTATCGTCTATCTGTTGGATGTGTGTGGTGACAGTGCCAATGGCAAAGCTCAACTATATCTTGGCTCGTCATCTTCGTCGTCATCCGCTCAGTCTTCGTTTCCGATCCAATAATGTGTCTGTTAGTGCTCATCACCCGACTGTCATCCTCTTGTGTACCTATCAGGCTGTTGGATGGCAGTACTACAAGTATACCTATGATGGTATTAACATCATGTTTATCAACTTACTGCCGTTGGTATTCTTTGTTATCTTTGACGAATATGTCCTGAAGGAACATTTGCCTGATTCCTTTATTACCTCAGCTCCCGTCATCTTTGGACTATCCTTGGCGTCTGTTATTCCTCTTTCATACTTTATTGGTATGGGTGTCAGCTCTATCTCCGCTCAAAGTAGCATGGGCTTAGGTGCTGTCATCAATGCAACCTTTGGTAGCATTATCGAAATTATTCTGTACGCTGCTGCCTTAATGGCCGGAAAAAGCCTACTTGTCGAGGGCTCTTTGATCGGAAGTATCCTTGCTGGTGTTTTACTTATGCCCGGTTGCTCCATGGTAAGCGGAGCTGTCAAAAGAAAAGAGCAGCGGTTTAATGCAAAGAGTGCAGGTAAAAAAAAAAATTACCCCTATTATTACAATAATAGTTTACTGATTGTCAACAGGTGTCACGGGAACAATGCTTATTATGGCTATTATAGGAGCACTGTCACCAACCTTGTTTTACCAATTTTTTGGCTCAGTAAGTAAAAAACATGCCACTTGATGTTTTCTCCTTATTCATCTTTTTTTTTTTTCTAGTTTGAGTTACGTTGTACAGGCTGTCCGGAGGATGTGGATAGCCACAATATGTCCTTGGCTTGCTCCCATTGTTACTATGATCAGTCTGATCCTATGCATGACCCGGTTTATCAAAATAATGTAAAACCATTCATGTACCTCTGTGCGGCCATTCTACCCTCTGCTTATATTATTGGTCTCTTATTTAGCTTGCACACGCATGCAGACATGGTGTGGAAGAATGCCACAACTAAACATAGTGTCCATGACATACCCACCCACCAGAAATTATATCCCATACATATCCTTCGCTCACAGCATTCAGATAGCCAACAGTATCAGCACCAAGAGCAGCCTAGTGAATCAACCTCGACCAACATTTTGATTCCAGGTAAGTGATCGAGTTATTTCGTGTGCTTTGCAAAATTGATGACACTTTACTTTTTAGCCACAATACAGAAGCAACCCAGTCCACCTTTAGTGACTGTAGTGCCACCATCAAATCAGTCATCTACGCCTATTGCATTTATACATGCTAAAGAGCCAGAAGAGGAAGAGGAAGAAGAAGCGGCTGCTGGTCATGATTCACCCAACTGGGGGAAAGGAAAAAGTTATACAGTTCTTTTTGGCTGCACTTTACTATATTCTATTATTGCTGAAGTCTTGGTACAAACGGTAGACCAGGTGATGGAAAAGATTGCTATTGACGAAAAGTTCCTCGGCCTTACATTGTTTGCACTTGTGCCAAACATTACTGAGTTCATGAATGCTATTTCTTTTGCTCTTTATGGAAACATTGTGCTAAGGTATATATCAAGAAAGGTAAAGTGGTTCACATCATCTAATTTAATTCTTTATATAGTATGGAAATTGGATCTGCCTATGCTTTACAAGTGTGTTTATTGCAGATCCCTGCTATGGTAGCATTTTCTATATGGTACAATTGGGGAAAAGAAGAAGTTAAACAATTCACATTCAAGTAAGAAGTAGTGTACCAAAAAAAAAGTCTTTCTTATACTTTAGATAGTCTTATATTTCCTCGCTGGGATGTCATTTCTGTAATATTTTCAGTATTTCTGCTGACTTATACATACCAAGAAGGAAAGTCCAACTATTTTAAAGGATCTATCCTCATCCTCAGCTATTTCGTACTTGTTGCTGGATTTTATTACGTCCCATAACCTCATATTTTCTCCTTGTACAATATCTCCTTTTCGTACATCTTTTTACTTCATATAAATAATACAGCAATTTCTCCCTATTCTAAATAAAAAAAATAGCTTTCTGTTAAACACACGTTACTTTAAACTACTCTCCCCTTTTTGTATCTGTTTTCTAATTGCATCGCTGTTTCATCCTCCTTGCATCCCATTCATCTTCTTTTTCTTTCTTTCCTTCTTTTTTGTTTTCTTATGGTAGACCACTGTTCTCATCAAGATCAAACACAAGTCAATATTAATCAAATACTTCAGCAACTGGAGGCAAGGTACAACGCAGATCAACCTTATATGAACCTGGGAAGCCATCGCTTAGTTGTCCTTAATCCTCATAAACCACTTGATCTACTGAATGATGCTACACTTGAAGTCTATGGTCAGCATGGATATAAAAACATTAGCTGCCAGCAGCCACAAGACGAACAGAGACTAGAGCCTCATATCTATGAGCTTGCTACAAAGGTCTATTTTTTGCTTCGAAGAAGGAACGAAGATCAAGCAATTATGCTAAGGTATGTATATATATTGCGACCCTGTTACTCATCACTCATGCATGCGGATCAACAGTGGTCTGTCAGGATCTGGAAAGTCTACCACACATCATCACTTGCTCAAGGAGCTACTGTATCTGTCGACTCATACAAAAAGAGACGAGAAGATCAGAAACCAGATCCTTGGAGCTAATACGATATTAAAATCTTTTCTAACAGCTGCAAGCTCACATGATACGTCTTGTTCGAATATATTTCAGACCTTACAGTTCAACAAACGAGGACATATCGCTGGATTGTCTAATTCCATTTTCCTACTTGACAAACATCGCTTGACTCGTGCCCATCTCTCAAATTTTACAGTCTTTTATCAACTTTTGGCTGGATCAACGGCAGATGAAAAGCAAGCGCTACATATAACGCATACCACCTTTAATTACTTGAAGCCATCAAACCAGCAAAGGCAACAAATGGATGACATTGCCTTTCAAGACCTCAAGTTTGCATTAAAGCAATGTGGATTCAAGACAAAGATAGTGGCGCAGCTGTGTCAATTACTCGCAGCCATTCTCCATCTCGGCAACATTCAGTTTGTCGATAAACGCCATTATAGATTATCAGAAAAAGACTTTGGCAATGGCTTAGAGAGCAGCCAGGGCTCGTGCAGAATCAAGAACAAGGAAACACTAGCGTTGGTTGCCGCAGCTCTGGGTGTTACTGTCTCTCGTTTAGAAAACACGCTAACGCATCAATCAAAGCTAATCGGAAATGAGTTCTGTACTGCATTTTTAACTGTAGATTTAGCAAATCAGCAGCGTGACAACTTGGCACAAACACTGTATACCACGCTCGTCTACTGGATAGTCACAACAATGAACCAACGTCTTGCGAGAGCCGAAGATAATACGATTCGCACAATCAGTATTCTGGATACGATGAGTCTAAATTCATCAGGCGACTTTCACAGTTTATGTAGCAACTATGTGTTGGAACAGTTACAGCAGCACATGCTCGAGCTGTCGTTTGAACAAGAGCATGTAGAGCCAAGACCTACAACGATACTATTCCATGGAAGCTCTGGTTTATTTGCATGCTTGAACAATGAGTCAAGACGTATGGAAAGTTATGCGCTTGATGCTACAGATAGCAACTTTCTATCATTACTTTTCCAAAGAAAAAAGTCATCTACTGATTATCGCGCATTATTAGATCCATCCACTCCATCCTATAGCTTCGCAATTAAACACTTTGAAAGTTATGCTACTGATTACTCGATAGATTCCTTTTTAGAAAACAATCTAGACACTATCTCGCCTGACTTTGTTCATTTACTTAAAAATAGCTGTACAAACATGTTTGTTGCCGAACTGTTCAATATCAACACATCGTACTGGATTACTGAAACGCATCCTAGAGATAGTTCAACGATCATTAAGGCACAGTTGCCTCTTTGGCCTCCTGAACCAGCAGAAAGCCGAGAGTCAAATCGACTTGACAACGAAGATCAGCCTGCAAGTAAGCAGCCAAACAGTAGCTCCAAAAAAGGAACGCAAACAGTGCTAGACCAAGTGAGCAAAGGACTGGATTACTTGAAGCGAAAATTGGCACCTATGCAGGTATTTGAAGTTATTCATATACAACCTAACGCGCAGCAGAAACCCAACTTGTTTGAAGATGACCATGTCGTACATCAGTTGAATTGCTATAAAATTGTAACACTAATGAACCATGCTTCAGATGCCGTATACAGTTATACTTATGAGCAAATGTGTGAGCGGTATGGACCCTTGATAGATCAGGATGGTGCAAATGAAGATAAAGCGATCATATCAGAATGGGCAAAGTCAAGGCAATATACAGAGAGAGAAGTCAAGTTAAAGGCAGACTCGGTCGAGCTCTCCTTTAGTGTGTGGAAATCACTTGAAAACCAACTACGTACTCTAGAGAAAGAAGTGAGTCTGCGAGAAAAAGAAAGGCAGGCTACGTTGGAAGCAGAAAAAGAGAGGGCAAGGTATGCCGCCATGATAGCCGCTACAGAAGCAGAGGAAGCAACCTTACAAGAAACAACAGAATCAGCAGCTCAGAACATAGACGCTCCTAATGCAGCCATGTCTATAGACCCATGGTCTAATGAATGTAATCCGTTTGCTGATGATTACAAGTCTGAATTTACTGCCGAAGATGATCAGACGTTTATTGACTATCAGCTCAACTCATTTGAAGACAGAAAGAGCGACTGGTATGAGGAAGAACAAGAAGAAAAGGTTCTTTCTGAAGGGTAAATATATAGAGCATACAATTGCTGTTAATATACTAATACAAGTCTCTAGGTATGGACCCAATTTAGATATGAGCGAGATGATGAAAGATAATAATGTTCAGCCTGAGGAGCAAATAGAAGAAGTGACTATCACCAACATTCGAATATGGTGGACAAGATTCGTTTATTTTTCTACATGGTGGATACCATCCTCAGCTTTGAAATATATTGGAAGAATGCCAAGAGAAGATGTACAGATGGCATGGAGAGAGAAAGTAACGCTATGCATCTTGATCTTTTTCTTTTCTGCTGGTGTTATATTCTGCATAGTCGGCCTTGGCATCATCATTTGTCCCGAAGCCAAAGACCTTTACACAGCGCAAGACGTGCTTAATCACCAAAGTATGAACGATTACTGGATTAGTATAAGAGGAAAAGTGTACGAGGTGACAAAGTTTGTAGCAGAGGACCATGGATCTCCACTTGCCATGACCACAAGCTCCAGTTTAGAATCCCTTGCAGGAAGGGACCTGTCCTACACATTTCCACCACCCCTAACAGTTGCATGTCCTGGACTGGTTGAGGATAACTCGATTGTGGTTACACCCAACGAATCCATTGTTCTTGGTCCATTCGTTCACTTTTCTGGTGCTCAGCAACCCGACAAGACCTTAAAAAACCTTCGGAATCCTGACTGGCTCACCAAGCAATTCGAGCCAATTATGACTCCTTACAAAAAGGGAGACCTGGTTATATCCATGAAGCAAATGAAGAATGATTTCAAGAGCTGGGGAAGGCTTATAGCTGCCATTGATGAGCGTGTTTATGATTTGACAGACTACATGGCTACGGCTCGTCGCTTTCAAACACCGGGTATCAACAACTATCATTATCTGCATCCGTCCGTCGAAAACCTATTTGTGCAATTCGGAGGCAGTGACATCACTGAAGAGTGGAAGCACCACACTACTTCCATGGATGATACAACAAGAGCACGCAACTTGGCATGTCTGAATAACGCATTCTATGTGGGCCGCCTTGATTTCCGTGATTCTGCTCGATGTACGTTTGCCAACTATCTGTTACTAAGTTTCGCCTTGGTGCTTTCCGTAGTTATTGTCATCAAATTCCTGGCTGCCTTGCAATTTGGAGGCACTCCGACACCAGAAGACCATGACAAATTTGTGATCTGTCAAGTTCCGTGTTACACCGAGGACGAGGAATCTCTAAGGAAAACCATCAATTCTCTTACAGCCATGACATATGACGATAAACATAAACTGCTTTTCTTGATCGCTGACGGAATGATTATTGGTAGTGGTAATGACCGGCCAACGCCTCGTATCCTACTTGATATTTTGGAACATGATGAAGATGACGAGCCTGAAGCTTTCATGTTCAAGTCAATCGGCGAAGGTTCAAAGCAATTAAATTATGGAAAGGTGTATTCTGGTGTATATCAACATGAAGGACATGTAGTTCCCTATGTTGTCGTAGTAAAAGTTGGCAAACCTACTGAACGAACCAAGCCTGGTAACAGAGGGAAGAGAGATTCGCAAATCATTTGTATGAATTTCCTAAGTAAAGTTCACTTTGATGCCGAGATGTCGCCACTGGAACTGGAAATATATTACCATATAAAGCATATTATAGGCATTGACCCTAGTCTTTACGAGTATATTCTCATGGTGGATTCGGATACAGAGGTCTATCCTGATGCATTAAACAGGCTTGTTTCATGCATGCTACATGATAGTCGTGTTATTGGTCTTTGTGGAGAAACAGAGTTGGGTAACCAAGATAGGTCATGGATAACCATGATCCAAGTCTATGAATATTATATATCGCATCATCTTGTAAAGTCCTTTGAATCCATATTTGGCTCCGTTACTTGCCTACCAGGCTGCTTCTGTATGTATCGTATTCGTACAGCAAATAAGCATATTCCGCTTATAGTATCTCCCAACGTTATTCAAGCTTACTCAGATAACCGAGTAGACACATTACACAAGAAGAATCTACTACACTTGGGTGAAGACAGATACCTGACAACACTCATGATGAAAAATTTTCCCGAGTACAAGATGATGTTTACACCATATGCAAAATGTAGAACAGTAGCACCTGACGAATGGCGTGTGTTATTATCACAGCGCCGTCGCTGGATTAACTCAACAATTCATAACCTGCTGGAGCTTGTGATGTTGCCCGAGTTATGTGGATTCTGTTGTCTTTCAATGAGATTCGTAGTAATGACAGACTTGATAGGTACCATCACCTTACCTTCATCTGTGATCTATTTGATCTATTTAATCTACACAGTCGTGTCCGGTGCTGGGCCGATTCCCACAATAGCACTTGTTACCCTCGTGGGAGCGTACGGCCTACAGTCTCTGATATTTTTGTTTAAGCGACAATGGCAGCATATTGGATGGATGATCATATACATATTGGCTATTCCTATATTCAGCTTCTTTATCCCAGTGTATGCATTCTGGCATTTTGACGACTTTTCTTGGGGAAATACAAGAGTTGTTGTTGGCGACAATAAGAAGAAGCAGATCATTGTTACAGACGACGAAAAGTTTGACGAAAAGATGATTCCGATGAAGAAATGGTCACAGTATGAGAAGGAAATGCAAGAAGCGGCAATGCTTGAGCAAGACGCACTCTCGGGTTACTCTTCGTACGGCCGATGCTCATGTGATGATTATAAAGGCGAGAATGACTCGCTTTCGTACCGTAGTCAATACATTTGTCGCTATCATCAAGAAGCGTACGAGAAGCCAGTGCACAATTATTATAGTACTGATTACAATCATTCATTCAACAATCTATCTGTTCACACAAGCCAACTCCTTCCTGAATCTCTCCCGAATGTTGAGCCTATGGGCGAGCTTTCTTTAGAATTTTCCTCTGTTTTAAAACCTGTAATGTCTCCTAACCAAGAGCAGCAGATAGATGAAAAGGGAAAACCAAAATACGTGATGCTACCTGAAGATGATGAAATCGAGAAAGAAATCTATACGATTCTCACTACTAGTGACCTAATGACTTTAACCAAAAAACAAGGTAAATACAGGATATATATAGTACTGGAAATGTTTAACAGTCTTATATCCTTAGTGCGAGATAAACTATCCGAAATCTTTGGTATAGATTTGACTATAAAGAAGGACTTTATTAATTCGGTCATCGAGAGACTGTTAGAGAGCGATGACATCTTGAATGCACTCCAATCATTATAGAAACTAGGCAACATAATAAAGCTTTTATTTAGTTGCATCAAATAGATATTATCAATTTGTACAAATGATCCAAATGGTGTATAATATTACCTTGAGTTGTACGCTGTGCACCGTTTAACCACATTCAAGTGTATGAGACTCATAAAAACTTCGGCATACTATCACGCACTGCTAAGGGAAGGATATACGCTTATGCTTATTTTCAAACAGCGAAAAACAATACATTTCACAAAATACTAAATATTTAATAGCTGATCATGTTATGAGATTGATAACAGGCGATGTTCTTGTTGACTTATGCTGTATTGACCACTGTCAGTACAAGCTTTTTGTGTGACAATTTAGATCCTCAAATAGAAACTCTGCTGAGGTTCATTTTATCCAATGAATTTCACTGCATGAACTATAATTTGGCAGAAATGACTTCATAAGGTGATTTTTTTCAATTCCCACAGGCGTCTTTTTCTTTTTCTTTTTTCTTTTCTTTTTTTTCAACAATGTATGTTAATAACTCCCACTCAGAGCTTCCCACGGTTAAGGAAAATCAAGATGTATTAACCGAAAGCTTTGCAAGAAAGTTATCCATTTCGTCCCTCTCTTCACCTTCAGTAGACATACACGGTCAAGCTGTTCCATCTGACATTCTTGTTGCTCTATTAGACAGACCAACAGAAATGGTACAGCTGGTTTCGCGTAACCGTCAGTTTTACGACGCCATACAGCATTACATCACTGAGACACAAGGCGAACACGCTTGGCAACGATTTCAAGAGATACTTTATAAGCCTAGAGAGAAGCTGCCGGACCGTGCATGGCTTACGTGTATCAGTCACTACCTTGCGCATAATTCGATATTTTTATCAAAATTTAAAGAAATTGTGGGATATACAGAAGATACACCTGAAACAATCTCACCACCGTTTCATTATAAAATGAGTACTTCCAGTAGCACCGCGTCCTCAAATACAAGTCGTCGTAGAAGCCGAAGGCTCTCAGCAAGAAGCTTTGATCTTGATTGGCCAGAAGAGGATAGTATTATTGAAGAAGAAGCTCCTGAGGTCCCAGAAGGAATGTTTACGGACGAAGAACAGTTTTATCAGCAAACGACGCCTGTCGGACAACAGCAGCCTAGACGCAGACGTTCTTCCTATCATGCTTTTCAATCTGAGCCTCATCCGACATTTGTGGAATCAAAGATTGATGAAGTTGAAGAAGCAGAAGTTGAAAGTGGCAACGAAAGTGACCATCTCAGTGAATTGCTGGACAATGACGAAGATGATGATGATTATAACAGTGAGGCGAATTTACAGCGAATCAGCCATGATAGCAGTCGTCAGCCTACCTTTAAAGACCGAACGAGGAATAACATGGGTTTGGTCCGAGTACGAGACTATCCTGATGTGCAGACTAGCTTACCCAATGTTTACCCTGCCTTTTTCCGTAAGGCTAAACAAATCTTATCACTTGCACCCTCCTCACGTCAATTTTCGGCAAATGTACGTAGAAATTCGATCCTGGAGGGTGGAATGCCTGCAAGCCCAGTAATAGATTTGGATGAGCCTCGAGTACAAACTTGCTCAGATAATGAAGAAGATGAAGAGAGCGATCATTTGACTCAGCTTATATGTACAACGCGAAGACAACAACCTGATGATTACCTATGGTTAAATAATGTTATGGAGGTCTTGGGCGATTGGCCAGAGTTGGTTGATGGTCTGAAAGATATCATTGACGATGCATTAATTGACCACCGCCAGAGCCGTTAAACTTTTGTTTTCTTTTATAATTGCAGTAATAAAGAATGCTTTCAATAAACACAAAGAGAAAGAGAGGATCTTTAATGTACTATTTAGATATATGTATATGTATATAGAAAGTTTGTATAAAGAAAGAGAGGGGTATCCATTTATCTCGAACCAATAATACCGGAAATCCAAGAAGTACGCTTGTTTTTCTCTGTAGGCGAAGCAGGGGCAGTTTCGTCTTGATGAACTACAGCACCAGCGCCTCCACCACGAATGGGCTTGGCTACGCGTCCACTGCTTATTATTTGACCAGCTTGCTGTTTCTGTTGTGAAGCTTGCTGAAGTCGTTCCCTTGCAGCTCTCAGTTGTCCTTCGAACTTGTGATTTTGGTTGATCAGTTTCTCTTGGGCGTCTTGTAGCAATTGCTCAAGGCTTAGAATTCGATCATTGCGTGCAATCAATTTACGCTCGGCAACTCCAACTTCTTTCTTTAGTGAAGAATTTTGCTCGACAAGCTATATAGATTTAGAAAAAGATGAAACTATTCTCTTTATGAACAATTACCTGTTTTTGAACGTTCTTCAACTGCTCGAGATTACGTTCCAAGATAGCCATCTTTTGTTGCTGAGCTTTATTATTACTTGCTCTCAACACATTGTTGTACTGTTCTCGTGTTTCGTCCAGAGACATTTCCAATTCTACCACCTTCTCACAGCGAAGCTGTAAGTCGCGCATGAGTGCTTTTTTCATGGATTCAAAATCAGCCAAGTCCTTGGCCATGGCTTTCCGCATACGCTCAATCTCTTGCTCACGTTCAGAGTAGGCGGTGGATGCAGTAGGAGTTTGCTCAGCAAGTGTTTTTTGAAGGCTGTCAGTAGCTTCTTTCAAAGATTGCAATGCTTGTGAAAGATTGTTGATGTTGTCTCCCTTTGAGTTAATTTCTTTCTTTAGTTTTTCTATTTCTTCTTGCTGAAGTTCCTTCTTTGAAGCATACTGACTTTCCAATTTAGTCTGTACATAATGATGAGTCTTTTGTTTAGTTTTTAAGGTGCATCTTTACCTTGACAGCAGAGATAGCCACTTCAATGTCTGCATTCTTTTTAGCAGTAGCCTCTTCTTCTGCAATTGTTTTGTCCAGTAATTCTTCATATTCCTGTTCAAGTTTCTTCAAGCGTTCATCAAGCTCAACCTTCTTCTTTTCAAGTACTTGTTTTTCATCTTGAAGGGTATCGATAGCTTTTGTGTGCTGTTCCAACAATATTTGAGAGTCAGCAAGATCACGACGAAGGGCAGCTGCTTCCTCTACAGTTAGAGGCAAGCTTCCCTCAGCCTCAAGCTTGTTGACTGATTCACGAATTTGACGTTCTTTTTGGTTGATCTCACCCTACAATGTGTTAGGCTATGCAACCTGAAAGGGCGCCTTTTATTTACCGAGGGATCCCACTTGTTCATCATTTGTGCTATCAGATCTGCCTTCTTCTTTTCTTTATCATTATCAGTGCTGTCTTTATAAGCCATACGGACTTCTTGCAGATTTCTTCGAAGCTCTTCAAGTTCATTCAAAAGCTCTTGATTGGCTTCCTTCAAAGAATCAACGTTGATAGCATTTTCTCGGCTTTCAAATGATATCTTCTGAAGCTGTAACTTCAATTCACTCAGTTCATTAGACATCTGCTGGTTTTCTTTGGTAATAAGAGCTTCATGCTCTTTGTAATAATTGACTTCCTCTTTCAATGAGTCCAGCAGCTTTTCGCGATTGGCAAGTTCAGTTTCCTTTTCAGCAATTTGATCCATCAATTCATTTTCACGCTTCAAGAGTTCTTCACGTTCATCTTTCTCCAAAACAACTGAAGGAGTTGTGGGCCGAGATGCATCATCAACTGGAGTGGAAGGTTTAAAACCGGATGCAGGAGGCAATGCAGAATAATCGCCCTTATTAATTTTATCTAAAGATACCCATTTTTCTTCTGGCAGAGTATTACCAGTACGCCAGACGTTTACCTCACCCTCTAAAGCGGCAATATAAGTTTGGAAAGTCATTGTTTCTGTCTTGGCCTTTTTGAGCAGAGCCTTTAGTTCGGCAGGTGATAGGTCAGCATTGACCTTGGCCTTGTTCTTGATTGTCTTTGCACGCATACCAAATCTTAAGGTAGACACTGTTTCGGCTTCATTAAAAGAGGAAGGCGAACAGTTGATGATCAAGGTTGTGCGAGAGTTACCACCCAAAGATTCTTGGAGGATACGTGTCAACTTAGAGTCACGGTAGGGAATATGGCTGGACTGTGCATCGCAATCGTATGAGTTACACATTCGACTGCAGATTTATATATGCTGCATACCTTTCCATCTGTTAAGGAATTAATGACCATACCCAGGGCAGTCAGAGATTTATTAATCTTTTTAGCTTCTTCCAATGTCTGACCGGATGCACCTGTCTTGCCTACTTTTTCGGAACCGGCCAAATCAACCAAATAGAGCTTACCGCTCTTTGCAGCACCTGTATCCAAGTTCTTTTGTGTGATGGTAATCACGACAATAGAATGAGATCGAGAGCTTTCAGCGTTCATGTCTACAAGAGTATATTAGTTAACAGTACGCAGTGCTGTCATGTTGATACCATACGTGTATAAGCAACCATACGGTTTGCACTACCATTTTTCATGGCTTGATATACTTCATCTTTGTTTGCTACATAAATCTCATATAAATCTTTTACGTAAACACCACGCGTCTTATCCTCATGGATAGCCAAGTTGTCATTGGATGCTAATAAAAAAAAGATGAGGTTATCTACATAGCCTAATGCTTGTGGTTGCTTTTCTTACGATTAAATAAATCACGAACTTTTTCCATATAAATTTCCATATAAGAAACTTTGACAGTGAATTCCAAATTACTTGGTGCATCATTGATACTTGCGAATATTTGTTCGACAATACGTGGGATAATACCCTTTGTTTGGGGATTATCGATATCTGCACCCTATTGATTTTGATATTAGCTATAAACAAATAAAGTTAAGCTTTATCTTACCATCATTGTGAATGTTTTACCAGAACCTGTTTGACCATAAGCAAAGACAGTACCGTTATAACCAGCAGTGACATCTAATGAATGGGGATTAGAACTTGATAGTTATAACAAGTTGTTCATGTTACCATCTACTATGCTTTTGATAGAATATTCAAATACATCCTGTTGGGGTGTATTCATGCCAAATACTTTATCAAAAGCAAAACTAGACGTAGTTTCACCCTAAAACATATATGAGATTATTGTTGTTTTTAATACATATTTTATTTATTTACCTTTATGGTTACTTGAGTTCCCTCTTCGTCAATCTCAATAATTGGGACACCACCTTCTCTTACTTCAAGAGCATTCTGAGGACGGAAACGACAGACAACTTTAATATTATTTCCCGACATGTCAACTTGCTCTCTTTTGTTAAACTATGTTTACAGAGAGAAAGGAAGAAAAAAGAGAGGTACAAAAAAAGGGAAAAAAGGTTTCAATGTTTAAAAGGGAGTTTCAAAAATGAAAAAAAGGGGGTGGCAAATAAGTATAATGTATGTGAGAATATTGTAATCTGTCTCAAGAAAAAGGGCTCAGTTTCAGTAGAAATAGCGCAAAATAAGGAGGGAAAACTAGACTTTACAAGGCATCTGCATCTTTCATGTTTGTATAAAAATAAGGCGTGTGACCTAGCCAAAGAGAAAGGTTTAGCGGAAGTCACGAGAGTTTTCCAAAGTACACAGACAATCTTGAGTACAGTCTGAGACCTGCAGCTTTAGCCAATAAAAAGAGAAAGCAAAGAAGCGATGTTTTGGATATAAAGGATATAGTTATTGACCCAAGGGAATTAAAATGGATAAAATGAAATCGTGTAGTTGAAACAATACTCAAACAGGTCATGTTCCCATTATATCTTGACAAGCTACAGTAGTTGAATCACATGGTAATAAATGTTCCCATATCAGAACTATCATTTGACTATTACACTCTTTACCAAATTCAATACCGCATTCGGCTAGTATTAAAGTCGATGATAGAAATAGGGTCAAGCTTCGCGGTAAGAATGATGAGTGGTTCAACTGGAAATGGAAATTGTTCGCGATAAAGCCCACAAAGAGAAGATATGACCATAGTTTCTATATGTTCCGATTAACAGGCAAGGGCATCTATGCGTTTTTCGAAATAGCACACCTACGATATCCTGAGTCTCTGGAAGACCTTTCATCATTCACTTCTCTAGGGAACTTCAAGAAGCTGCTGGTGGTAAATGATGCTTTTGCTCTTGGGCCAAAAATTTCTGTATTTTACCGTATTTAAACGTTTGCCTACATGACAACTTTGAAAATTTTCTAAGAAAACAAACAGGACAAGCACTTCTTTGTTAATGAACCTTATTGATTCTGCTCATATGAATCATACTTTGATATGGGCAAAAAATGTCAGGTTTCCCACCGTTGTATGCTGCTTAGTGCTATCTTTCAGTATGACTACCATCTGAACAACTATAAACATATCTTCCCTTTGCGGGCTTCTTTATTGAAGGCGACGCCCGTCTCCAGCTGAACCACTCATCATTCTTACCGCGAAGCTTGACCCTATTTCTATCATCGACTTTAATACTAGCCGGATGCGGTATTGAATTTGGTGAAGAGCGTAATAGTCAATTACAAGAGGTATTGCTTAATTATATATTATTCAGATAAGTTATAACCATTACTCATTTACAATCCCATAGCTTATCAGAGAATGAATAGATCATTTTTGCATAAATTTCTTTAATGAGAGGTTATCTGATTATCTTTATTTACACATCTGCAACTCCATTACTGCTCTTCCTTTACTGGCGGAGGTCCACAGGGTTGAAGCATTTTCTATAGAATAATTTAGGAAAAAGAATATACCAATATGAAATCTATACCTCCAAAAGATTATTCTTTACTCTTGCCTTGGTTTCATTTTCAGCAACTGAGAAGTATGAAAGTAAAGAATTATGTCCAACAAAAGATGCTAATGAATCTCTGTGTTGATTTGTTAACCATTCACTAATATCATTGTTATTATTGTTATTATTATAATCTCTCTCTTTTTTTTTTTTTTTTTTTACTATTTGTTGGTATCAGCATGTCCAGTTCCAACATATTTTGATTGTACTTTTATAAAGAGATTAGTTGATGTGTGTGTAGTTATAGTCTATTTTAGTTACAATGTTCAATTTGACTATTGATATTAAAACGATCCTATATGAATGTGTCAACAATGACCACATGTCTTCACTCGTCATTATTTACCATAATGTAGAGAAGAAAAAGGAAAAAGAGTGAACGTGACTATGATTTCACTGCAGCAAATAAAATGAGTTTCCCCTCTTTTTTTTTTGATGATTGATTATGTTAGATTAATAACAAATAGACGTTAAAGTTTGCACGTCTTTACGTTTATAGCTTGCTTTAGACAAAGTATAGATAAGTTCATATTTATTTCGCACGCGTAATTTATCAGATCAAAGGTTTATGTCTGTATATACTCTTGTTTCTCTCTCTCTCTCTCTCTTTCTCCCTCTTTGTTCTTTTGATCACATATAGACAAGTGTACATACTGAAGAGATCAAAAGAACTGCGGACATTCACAACAAAATGCTGTCGTAGCAACAGATTTGATTTAATTTTTGACTTTTTTCTTTTTGCATATTTATTTCTCTCTTTTTTCTTTCCCTTTTCTCTCTCTCTTTTTTTTTTCTATACCAAAAATACTTGTATCAGTCTTCATTATAATTCATTCTTGGTTTTTATTATAAAACGCGCGCAACGAGGAATATATCATCTTTTTTAATTCCTTATTTTTACAATGGGTCAATCAACAAGCGTAGAAACCACAAAGAACACAGAGGATGAAGAAGAACAAACACAGGATAAAAGAGCAAGAAGCAAGAAATTTGACCTGAAGAATATAAATGATCACGCTCAAGACGACGTCACTCAGTCTCCGACTGATTCATTCTTTCCAATTATGAATACCGCTGAAGCCCCCTCAGATGAGACGGTGGCCATGTCTTCATCTGTTGTTGAAACAACAAGTTCATTAAAAGAGAATTCTTTTAAATCAAATAGAAATGCTAATAATTCAGTTGGTATTGGTTAAAATAAAGTGGTTTAATAATAACTTTATAACTTTTATATTTTTATAGGTATTGCATCAAAGATAATCCCTAAAAGACCTTGGTCAAGTTATCATCTGTTTCAATTAGCAAATACAACTACCAACAACAGTATAAGTGATAGTAAAGCAAGAATGATACGTTCACCAAGAATTAGGCCAAGGGAAACCAAGGGCACTGATACCAAATCAAAGGCGAGAATCAAGTTTGCTGAACCACCCAAGCCGATATTCAATAACAACAGGCACCAGTTAGAGAAACTAGCCAAGCAAAATGCAGAAATAGACGAAATAATCACAATGCTTCATCACCATAAAATATCTGAAGATGAGCCTATTATTAATCAAACAAACGATTATGTACCTTCTTCTGAATTTCAATTCTCATTTCCTACAGCCAACAACAATGGTACCTATATACCTCGACAGCAATACCTAGTTCCACCACCACCACCAGTTATTATTAACGATGAAGAAGATGAGGATGAGGATGAGGATGAACTACAACATGATAATAATAATAATAATAATAATAATCAATTCAAATATGATGTGATTAAGAATAGAAAGATCTTGCCGCTGCCAAAACGTAAACTAAGACGCAATCTTGATTCAACGTCAGGAATAAGCAGTAATGGATCTTCAGCTTTATCTTCACCTATACCAAGCCTACCTTCTTCCCCTTTTACCTTTTCATCTGATAAACCTATGCCCAAGGTATCCTTTCTTACAGATGCCAGTCGTAACTTGTTACAACAACAACAGCAGCAGCAACAACAACAACAATATCAAGGACAAGTTCAACAAACGCAACAACAGTCTCAGCAGCAACAACAGGATTCGTCCAATGTAGGCAGTGCTGTAGATAGTACTCACAATAGAAAGGATAGACCAAACATGTCAAAAAAGATAAAGAGCATGGAAAGGGTACACACGACACTATTGAACGATGAGGTAACCATGATTGGCAAACGAAAAGAAATCACTTCAAATAATCCCGTGTTCAAGTCACCACCAAAGATGGAAGTCTTTACGAAATACAATCCTCCAAAAGTGTTTGATTTCGCCAATTTCAACTTTCAATTCAATCCAGATCTTAATAACAATAATAATAGTAGTAGTAATAGCAGTAATGAAACAAAAAAGATGATTCAGAATACCCATAAACCAACAACAACCCCTTTTATTGCACCAGATCAGCCTATGTCTACTGCTACATCCAATGATCCTAGTACGAATACCACTACGTCAACCACTATACCAACTTTTGGCCAACATGCCACTTCGGGCAAGCCTATAAAAGGATTAGAAACTAAAAAGATCTTGAATGCTAAAGCACCCTCTGCTGCTATAAAACGGCCTTCTATCAGTCAACCAACCAACACGACAACAAATAATAGCACAAGCACAACTACGGCCAAAGCCAAGATTAAGCAAGAAGGCGAAAGTAAAAAGAAGACAGCTACTTCCAATAGTAAATCAAACAAAAAGAATAAGAAATCAAAAAGCAAGAAACCAGAGGAAGCTTCACCAGGAGGGTTCCTGTCGTCTGACATTACATTATTTGAGAATCCTCTTTCTGATGATTGGATATGCTTCTTTTGTCAATTTGATATCTTTTGTCGTGGATTTGAAGATGCAAAGAAAAAGAATGGTTATTACAGACGAAAAAAGGAAAGACTACGCAGAGCAAATGAGGCAAGAAGGATAGCAGCGGGTGGTGGTGGTGTAGAGTCTTCTGAGGAGCAATTGGAAGAAGAACATCGTCATTATCATCATCACCATCACCATCATGCATAAGATACATTGGCATTATATACTTTATTAATCATATATACATTTCTGTAAATTTGTGTTTACGATTCACCTCCCTTCCCTCCTTTTTTTTTTTCTCTTTGATTTCTTATATCCTTTTTGTACATTTTTTATTATTATTTAGGAGAGCTTAAATAAAACCTTTTACATACTTACTCAATTCAGTTCCATCACGTCGTATGTATCCAATTGTCCAGCAGGACTGTTTTCATGTCTCTGTGTCACTTTATGCTCAAACTCTTCAATGATATCCCAATCTGGATGATCATGCAGATACTCTGGATGTATCGTCTTTTTTTTTTTAAATGTGAGTCAGTATTCAACAGGGGCGAAATTCTATTTAATATACCTCTTCTTCATCATTTTCCCAAACCACAGTGAATCGTATTCCACCTACAGAATTCCTTATTTTTCTAATCACCTTTTTAATTCTCTTTTTCTTATATTTCTGTCTCAACTTGTTTAATGCTTCTTCTTCTTCTTTTTCTTCTTCACTGTCTCTTTCTTCTTCTTTAGGTATATATAATCTAATTGTGTCTGGTCTAGTGAACGTGTTGCGAATGTCTGCAGGTAATAATGGAATCTCAACTGAAGTGATTATGGCATTGGCTATTTTTGGGTGAATATTCTTTGGTCTCTTTTTACTCTTTTAAATATGTTAATTCATTGTAAAGTCTTTCTCTTTTATATAATTACCATTTTTTTTCTATATTATTATTATTATTATTGTGATTTATTATAAAGAAAAAAAGAAAATTGAGTCATTATATAAAAAAAGGGCATAAATTACAACAAAAAAAAGTCAGAAATAAAGAAAGGGAAGGGGGAGGGGCTATAAAACAGTGTTATGGACTATTCACATATCATTCGTAAAAGTTCACTAGTTAATCTTGCGCTTATGGCTGTTGATGTATTCATACTTCCAAAATTGACTTCTCCAAAGGCATCAAATCCTATACTTTCTAAGTAAAGCTTTTGATGATTCATTCTTTCCATAGAGTTGAATGCCGGTTCGGAACATGCTGTAATAAGAATCTCCTTAACTGCTTCGATCAGTGCTACATTTTCACTTGATACAACAATCGAGTTCATCTTGGGTATGAGTGATTCATAGACAAGGGCAAACACCTCTGGTGTAGACACAGCCGCTCTCGAAAGGAATCCGTACAGGAACAGTCTTTCTGCTTCATTCTCGGCAAGACTGAGCATGCCAACCAAAAAGGATACCAAGAGGATACCTGTGGTGTTATTGGGGATATCTATAGCGCGCCATATGACAGCATATACATCTGAAGGCGAAGTTTGCGCGTCAATGTCAATATCAATGATACCAGCCAGCGTCAACAACTCTCGAAGCGCGTCATTTTTAGCCGCAAACGGTAGTAAACCAGCAAGGTACCCAAGGCAACGAGCGTCGATTCGGTTGGGTGTAAAGCCGATCTTTGTTTCTGTCTCTAGGAATGTCGTCAGGCACATAAAGATCATTTCTCTGGCATCCGAGAAGCGGTAGCCCTTGAGCAGTGCACCTGCGATGGCAAACGAGAACTGAGTGTCAAAGCTGAGACCAGATGCAGCGTCAATGTCCAAGAGGACACTTGAGAACGGTCCACGCGCCTCCATCAAGACATCTTCAACCGATCGATGGTCAAAGTACTTGTGCGCATCCATCGTACGTAGTACTGCATGTAATAACTTGACAGCATAAGGGAATATGACTGTATGATTCATCTGAATGAGAGCAACCGCGAGCCAAAACATGGGCTTTAGGTACCTTGAGCCAGCAGATAGGTTGTCAATGATATTTCGAAGACACATGAGTATGCTAATAACCAGCTGTGGGTTGCCTTCATCAAATCGTGCAAGCTCATTACGAAGTACGACCAATATCTGGAACAAGAGATCGTCATCAATTTCGTCCTGTGCAAGGCAACCAAGGATAACGAATGATCGAGGCTGTAGCGCGGGATTGAATTGGAACGTCATACTGGTAGCTAAACTCATCCAGCGAGCGCGCCAAGCATTCGCGACGTCTATATGCATTATTAGTAAAAAAAAGAAAAAACGTATACTTTCTGGTACTACCTATGGTAGGAGCTGCATATGTAGTTGCTTCCAACAGTAACTGTACAATGACTTCAAGTGAAGCAAGACTAATATTCTCTATATCATCTGTCAAGGTTTCGTCCGTAATGGTAAAAGCATTCGCGTACGACTTGCTTAATCCAAAATGAACACGGTACTTGCCATCCCCTACATCATCCATGAGGAACTTGAGCTTCTTGCGGTTATGAGCCGGAACGTGTTCTGAGGTCACTAGGGTATGGATGGCATTGACAACAAAGCCATGAATAGAAGAACGTATCAAAGTTGGCCCTGTGGATACTAAGAGAGCAACAATATGAAAGCATTCGGCAACATAGGGTTTGCTAACACTTGTGTAATAAAATGAAAGAGTCACCATGCATCGCGCAAGACATGCTATTTCATTCCATGCAGAATGTCTGACGAGTGTCTGTCGACAGTTGTAAGACGTACTCTGGAGTGCTCTTCGCATGCGAGAGACGATCTTGCCTCGAATACTATTGTTGTTCATCGTCACAAGAGTATTAGCTACAACCTCTGCTTGAGATGATCCAACTCCATTCTCGACAGAGTATTGAATAAGACAATCAATGATCAAATTATGCACTTCTTCTATTTCACTCAACGTCTTCCACACTTTTCTTTGAATTTGTTCGTACAACTAGAATAAGTGCGCATTAGAAGCAGTGATTTTTTGTTTTAAACATGAACTTGTACCTTTGGCTTTTCGGCTGTTATGGTGATTAAGGAACGAATCAGATCTTTGATCTTGTTGATATCCTTTCCATTTGTTCCATATATGAAAAATCCAAGGTTCTTCAGCCATGGTACCATATACTCTAGTGTCAAAAGCTGTCTTACAGGTTCTGCACTGGATCGATTGAATCCAATAACACATTCATTCAAAAACTCTAGTGTCAGATGTGTCTCACTCGAAGCTACGCTTTCACTGATGCTGATGATAAAATCTACATCGTTGTACGGAATACATAGATCTTTAGCATACATGAGCTGATTGCCAACGCTAAATCTAAAGGCAAGACAAAGAGAATGCAGCAGGCTGTAAGCAGTCAGTCGTAAACTGTGATCATCGCTTCCAAGGTTAAGTAAAGCCATGTTTAAGATACGACCAGGTACGTCTGTGGGACGGATGCCGCTGCCTTCTTCTGTGATATGCGTCTCGAAATTCTTTTTACGAGCCAAAAGGTACTTGAAGAAGCATTGGTTTACATTTCATAATCAAAAAAACATGTAAATATAAACTTACCTTGTACACTTCTTCACGGTTAGGAACCACTAATACCATGGTTGATTTTCCATTATCAGTAGTGATATGAATTTCACCTTCGTTGTTGGTCTTTTTGTTAGGTGGTAAAGGAGGTAAATAGATGTCCAAAATGTCAGTCATGCTGTAGACATTATTTAAGATTGTATTCAAACTCCAGAATATTTCTTGCTCGCGTAACTACATAAGACATAAGTTATCTGATATATATACATAAAACGTATTGAACTCTACCGTTGTCACTTGGAAATATTCTGCTCCAATCTTGACTTGTACAGGTATCATGGACTTGTAAGTACTTATGACGGATGCATTATTGATTGTCATTCCAATCTCCTTTTCCATTTCATCTAATAATAAAAAGGGTTAACATCATTTACAAACTATGATATTCTTCCTCTTACATGTCTCTTTAGGCAATCGAATCTCGGACGGTGCAATGTATTGCGATAGTTCATTGATGGTAATAGAAAAGCGTGTACGTTTCACTAGCTTGTTTGTCAATACACGAGGTAATTTACGAATATATCGCTGCAAATAAAAGTTGGGGTTATATAAATACAGCGCCGTCAAGTAATCATTCAATTCGTTAAATATGAGCTGGAAGAACTGGTTCAACCAATGGATAGGAATCTCAATCCCTTCTGAAAAGCGTGAAAGGTCAAACAGCAACTCAAAGGGTTGACTAAGACAAGGTTCCATAACCTAATAAAAAAAAAAGGTTAGCTATGCTTTACCCTATATTGAGCTTCTGACGTCTTTACTCTTAGCATGTAATAAATCAGCAGTTCAAAATCCATTGTCTCTGCAGGAACATGACGAGCAATCAGGTAAAATATAGGACGTCCACCTCTAGAAACACCACCTTGGTAGAAGATATTCAACGATCGAATGCCATTCAAGTCACGATGCTTGTTTCGACGCATAAATTCATTATAGTGTGAATTGTTATTGACAAGTGCATAGTTTCGTACCATCGTCACTTCTGCTTGTGGTGTGTCAGGAGGTGGTCCCAATTGACCAAGAAGATTCGAAAACTTCTCCATCGTGTGTTTGAGTTCTAAAATCTTTTGAGTATCTGTGTAGCGAGAACGACGTCCAGCCGCTTCACGGGACAGTCTTTCAAGATTTTCAGACAAGTATCTGTGAAGCTTTGTGTAGGCTAAGTCGTCCATATACACAGTTCGAATCTCTTCTTTATCCGCTTTCTGAGTGGTAGATATCTCACGAAGGAAACTGGCAACTCTGTAGAGGTTATTGGTAATGAAATCGTTGAGTGAGATCAGGTGTGGCTCTTTGGCACCAAACATGACATTGTTGGCTAGATTTTGCATCAAACGAGTTGCCTGTAGCAGAATCTTTCGGACATTTTTGCATCTTGGTATTGCTTGCTTGGGAAGACCAGAGTTTTCTGGAGTCAAGATGGCAGGATTGAACAGTCTTAAGAATACAAAGCCTCCTACTTGTGTCTTGGCTGCATCTGGGAATCTCTTGTTGACGGTTTCTGCAAGATAAGCAAGTTCTCGACGAAATATTCTACAAAAGTGTCACATCCTACATGTTTCCTTTATCTGGGGCAACTACACCTTACCTAGGAGCAGACGCTGCAGAACTGCAGATGGCATCTAATAAAATCTCTGCTACTCTACAAACATTTTGTTTGTTTCTGGCAATCATTTCCTGGGATGTCTCTTTCAATGGGTCCATTTCATAGGTGAGTTCATCGTCGGGTATCGCATTGATCTTTTCCAATGCAGGCTGTAGAGTGGTTCTGACGTAGTCTACACAATTTTCTCGTGCAAATGTAGATAGTATTCTGGACGCCATATTAGTTCCACGGAATAGAGTCGACTCTTGCTCTATGATAGAGAGTGTTCATTTATCTCATGCACAAAAACAAAAAGAAAAAAAAAACTTACCAGCAGAGTTAACTTCTTTCTGGATAACAGCTTTTAAAAGATCCATTATCTTATTTCTCGAGTCAAATGCAGTCAACAAGACCTCTGCTACACCAGTGGCATCAGCTGCTGGACACACGTCACAAAGGGATAAAGCAACCTCAATATCTGATTCGACCAGTGTCTATTATATCTAGAGTGTTTGTATATAAAGCAATGATGTGAATGTCACGACCTTACCTCGACCAATTTCTCATAGCGATCATTCATGATCGTTTCTGCCAGTGTATCAAACTGAGCTCCCTGATTAAGAATATTAGCCAAAACTTGCATAAAGGCAGTTCTTGTTCTCGAATCCTCATGATAACCCATGGCTAATGTTGATTTCAATCCAACTTCTACATTTGCACTTAGTAAATTAGAAATCGCATTCACGGCCGACTCTTTAAGTGGGCCCCAATATGTGTCTGGTGGTTTCACCAAGAAGTTGTTCTTGGATAGCAAGTTGGATGGACCAATGATGTTTCCTGTCATAGCACTTTCAATCTAACATATACGTATAGGTAAGCGGAGAGTGTTTATCGACACTCAATATAAAGTCATACCTCATGTCGATGACATCTATCTAACAACTGAGTAAAGAAAGTAAAGTACTTTTGAAACAACCGGTTTTTGCTGAGTGCTCTGTCTGTATCACGTAATTGCTCTGATGGTTGTAAAGGGAGTTTGTCTAAAAGAGCTACAATGGCTTTCAAACAGACTTGATCGAGATCACGCTGAACTTCCTTGTTTTGAAAACTTGTCGATTCAACCGTTTGACTGTTTACAATACGCTACACAAAAGAAAAGACAATCAGTATATGCATGCTGGATAGTCTATAATTAGGATGTACCAAGTTGAAGTCACTTGTCTATTCTACAATAATTTCGAGCAACTTATTCCTTAGTCGGACATCGTCTCGTATGATCACTTGCTCCTTCTTCATCATCAGCACTTCTGTCAGATGACACATCATAATCATAGTGCGCATAGTTGTATAGTTGTCGTGTGGCAACCGGTTGATATAATTAGCAAAACTAAGCACAAGCGTGCTAAAGTCAACACTGAGTAAACAATCCGTTGCGTCTGTCAATCTATCCAATATCATCTTCAAGACTAAAACCGCTTGCTCCACGAACAATGTGTTTGCACTATCACACAGTACCTCCCCGTTAGAACTAAAACAAGTGCTCATTGTCGTCTCTAGCTGACGGAAGAGGATGGCATACAAGGATGGAGAGAGATCACTGCCGAGAGTGTCCTTGGCTGCTTCCCGGATAACCACATTTTCTGATGTTAAAAGTTCAATCATTTCTGTAATGAATTTCTCGACTAATACAGTTGCTTTCACAGGCGATCCTATGCGATCTGTCGAAGAAGACTTGCTTTTTTTATCGTCTTGAAGACTATCATCATCAGCATCGCTTGACAGCCGACTTCCTCCTAATGCAGCCAGGAACCCAGTGTAATTTTGCCATTCTGTTTGTTTTTCGTCGTCTATTTCTATCCGAGTGATTGGCTGAGGAGAAGTCAGTGAGGTACTTGCGGTAGCTGCAGGTGTTTTAACAGATGCCACTCTTAGCTTGTCATGTCTAACAAGGCCACCGATCTTTTTGACGGAGGTAGAGGCTGTAGAGGATACGATGACATTGTCGTTCAAATCTTTCAGCGTATCTATACCATAACGACTAACCACCTGCGTCAAGATTTTCCACCTCTTCCACACTTCCTCCCAGGCCATAAGACAGCCTGGTGTTGGTACTGTCATCATTCTCAGATACTTTCTCACTCTTTTCTGTTGCGCCTTTCTGCCCACAAATAGTTGTTTACGTGTGCCTTTCATGATCGGTTCCTCCGAATAGAGACCGTCATAGATGTCAAGATTGTAGTTGAACGCAAGAACGCTTTGACTATTTCTTGAAGATGACTCCATGAACAAATTGTCTTCATCTACAATCTTTGCTTCTTTACACATGTATCCCAAGCATTTAATTGCTTTGGAGCATATCTCAGGAAGAGGTGAACATAATGATACCAGTAAAGCAACTTCTAGTGTAACCATTGTCTGATGCCGATCATGAGCGTCGAATAACTCTTGCGCAGCAGAAGTTTCCTACAGAAAACAAAAAAAAATCAACACACAACAAAATAATTTTCAAACCTGGCTTACCGAAACATCAATCACGAAGGAATTTCTCGAGTCTAAAATATTGGCAAGCAAATCTAAAAGAGTCCTTAGCGATTCTTCGTCCTGTCTGGTGGTATCTAATATTTGGCGTGCAATAGAGATGACCGCTTGAGAAGAAATTTTCCAAAAATTGGTCATTATAGTATTTGTTGGACCCCAATGGACAATTATTGAAGGATCGTGTAACTGGATTAAGCAGTCGACTGCAGCACGTTGTACACGTTTATCTTGATGTTTCATCAAGCTGGTTATAGACGTTATCAGCATCGTGTTTTCCTCTACCCTCACCTTGTCATCATTTCCCTAACATTTCATTTAGCAAGTCAGTTCATGTTTAACAAAAAGAACATTTACCAGTAATGCGCAATAAGGGTCTATTCGAAATAATTTCAATAAGCTTTGAACTAGTCCTGTCGTGTTCTGCAGTTTTTTATCGGCGCTCACTGTCTTTTTAGACCCAGAGGTCACGCTAGACATTTCAGATTTTGAACAAAGTTCGACTTTGACTGTATGAATGAAAATGCGTCTGAGAGGAGTACAGATCGATTCATACATTGATTTTAATGTTGGATGCCATGGTAACGTCTTTTCCTCTGAAGCAATGGTCAAACATGCATTAACAAATGCCTGTTTAAAGACAGTGGGGACATCATCATCCAATAAGGTGGGCACAAGCGTATGGAGTGCTTTTGTAGGATTGAGCCGTAGCTGTGCCAAGAAATAATCTGATACCAGGCTTTTCTGACTGACGGTGTATCCCAAGCTCGAAGAAAGTGTATCTACCGCAGATGAACGGCTAAAATCCCAAACTTTTTCATACAATACACCTTCCACGTCCTCTGCAATATGTCGGAGTATTGTGTCTTCGTTAGGTGCAATGAAAGATGCAGCCTTGTATAAATCAACGTAACACGTTGCGGCAATTTCCTGTGTCCTGACTGATTCCAATGCTTTTCTTAATTGACGAGGAAAGCCAGTCTACTGAAAAGTGAATACTCGCCATGTTTATACATTATGTTTTATTTACCCTTCGATTTTGTAAGCCTCGGTCATCCAAAAATGCTTGTATCAAAAGATCAGGAGATAAAGTCAACAGAATGGTCTGCAGTGGCCACAAGACTGCCTTCTTACGCGAGCTATCTGCCGCTATATTACACATGTCGAAAAGAATTTCCGACCCTGCTAGAGCCTGTCGATTTGTCGTACAAATCTCAGCAAACTGAGAAGGTTTCGTCTCGATCCATTTCCAGATGGCAATTCTCAGCATCTTTGCGAATAATAACTTGCCTTGAATTTTCATGTTTAAAAAATACGGACTGAATTCTATTCAAGTGATTAATACACGTTACATTTACCAATCTTACAGTTTTACCTGTCAGGATTGAATGTAGCTTTTGGATGGTCAGACTTGCGAACGAAAGGATTCTAATCTCGGGAGGATTGAGTTCAGAGCTTTCGTTTGCGGCTGCCAACGCGTTGACAGCGTTTTTTATCTTTGCATAAAATGAATTCCAATTACTGGAACTGATATAGTAGAGCACCTTTCCTGACGTATGATAGACTTCACGTATGTATTCCATCGTTTGGGTATCTACCTTGGATGCATTAGCTACAGCCTCGTTCGAATGCTCTGTTGCTGATATCGATAGTTGATCACTACGTTCTTCAATAACATGTAGCTGGTTTAGAAAACGTCCCATTAGATTGAGCAGGAACGAGACTAGAGCTTCATCAAGTGGTGGTGGATCTAGTGAGAGAACATCCTTGGGCGCACCTGGCGCAACATCGGTATAAGCACCTGTAGCTGCTGCTGCTGCTGCTGCTTCTTCGGTGGTGTTTGTTTCTTGAGATACTTTGACTATGTGTTTCCTATACCATGTCCAGTGATACTGTAAACAAGCGGATAAAAGTCGAATAACAAAGAGCTGAGATTGGAGTACGTCAAGTGGGACATAAGCATCATTGGTAGTAGAAGGTTGAACGTTCTAATGATCATTATCTATTAATGATTTTATACATCCTTTTATTTTTAGGGGTTTTTTTTACCTTGGATATTAACTCTAATACAAGGGCAAGCTGATTCACGACGACAGATAATTTATGAATTGATAACTCAATAATCGCAGCCACTTTGAAAAAGATAACAATAAGTAATAATCTCTCTCTTTCTCTTTTATATACCTGTTTGTTGTGTTAGTGCATCTTGTTCTAAGCTCTCTATTGTCTTGCCAGTATTATTGATAGGTAACTAATTTTTTTTTAATCATCGATACTCAAACCATAACCTTATCCTTACTCGCACTTCTATTCTCTTGATTAAGCTAACAATTAACTTGGCATTGGCCCTCATTAGCAAAGAAAAGGAATGTCCAAGAAGTAACACAGAAAGAAGAAGGAAAAAATAAAGTAAAGAAAAAGAAAAAGAAAGCGAAAATAAATTAAATGTGTTACAGATAGAACAACATCCTGATCTCCCACACAAGCAAAGTTCATAAGCAAAAGGATATCTCTATTCTTTGTCGCTATTTCAACCTTGTTTTAACCCAATCGCAGGCATTTTTCATGTGGAACTTTCTTTATTTGAATTTCACTCAGTTTCACAGCTACACTTGCTAACCTTACCTTAGCAGCGAATCAGCTCTATCCTGGGTTCGAACCGGGCATATACATACATTTCCCTGTCTTTTCAAAATTAAACAATAATGATTACAAAAGCCATACAGCGCAACATTAAAACCCTTCATACCCTGTCTAATATTAAATCAGGTTGGGAAGCAGTCATTGGAATCGAAGTCCACGCTCAGATCAACACAAAAACAAAACTATTCTCAGGTACACACACACACACAATGTACACACGAACTCACGCGATACATAGATTCCTCCACTTCTTATAATGATCACGTAAATACGCATGTATCAGTTATTGACGCTGCTTTCCCTGGTGTTCAACCTGTAAGAATGAGGGAAAACTTGTTTTTATTGCTCTTATTGATCGTGTTTAGAGATTAAATCAGCGTGCAGTTGAACTTGCCATCAGAACAGCTCTTGCCATGGACGGTCAAATTCAAAAAAAGTCAAGCTTTGACCGTAAACATTACTTTTATCCTGATCTTCCACAAGGCTATCAGATCACACAACAAAGAGGTTAGTTGTTAAAAATACATATATATGAATGACTGTAGACTCAATTACGTATATCATTTTCTAGAGCCTATCTCACGAGGTGGATTTATAACACTGACAGAAAATGATGGAGCTGAGCAGCCAGTAAAGGTTGGCATTCATCAGATACAACTAGAACAAGATACAGGCAAAAGTTTTCATGATATGCGACCAGGAGAGACATTGTTAGATCTCAACAGAGCAGGTACTGCTTTGATGGAAATTGTGACCAAGCCCGATTTGAGGTAACAACAAAAGAAAGGAGATGAATAATAGGTAAATGAGGCTGATATTCTCTAGATCTTCTTTTGAAGCTGGTTTATTAGTCAAGAAATTACAAAATATATTACAATGGGTAGGTTCGTCAAAGGCCAGTCTGGAGGAGGGATCGATGCGATGCGATGTCAATGTGTCTGTGAGAAGAAAAGGTCAGCAAGAGCTTGGTACAAGATGCGAATTGAAGAATTTGAATCGCATTCGTATCCTTTCTATGGCTATTGATGCTGAGATTCGTCGTCAGATTGAGGTTTTAGAAAATGGAGGAAAAGTAACAGTTGAAACTCGTAGATATGATGAAGATAAGGATATTACGTACAGATTAAGAAGTAAAGAAGAGGCACCTGATTATAGATACATGCCAGAACCAGATCTTCCACCACTTCTTCTTTCAGAGGTAATGTCATTGCTTTTAGATGTAATATAGTCTAATATATACACATACATGTAGGAATATATTAATAATCTAGCCAATCAATTGCCTGAGTTGCCTGACCAATGCTTCGAAAGGATAACAAGACAATACAGCTTGAATAAGCAAAGTGCAGATTTACTATTGCACGAATATAAATGCGTCGATTATTTTGAAAAAGTAAAGAAAAAGAAAAGCGCTTTAAACAAGATAACGAACTCTCTTTTTTAGGTCTGCGAAGGAAGGAATCCAAAGATAGTAGCCAACTGGACATTAAATGAGTTATCTGGCGTCTTGGCATCCAATAACATTTCCTTTAAAGACAATCCTATATCTATAAAACACTTTGGAAGATTGATTGATCTCATACAAGATGGTACCATCACAGGTAAAAAGAGAGTACACACAGTCCTACAAGGATTATATTCATGCTTTATTACAGGAAAGACGGGTAAGCAGGTTATCAAGCTGATGATAAAGGATGACAGAGACCCTTTTGAGATTGTAAAAGAAAAGAATTGGATCAGGATCACTGATAAAGACACACTTCAATCTATTTGTAATGAGTTGATCAAAAAGCATGCGGACAAGGCAAATGCTGTCAAAAATGGTGATGTCAAGCTTTTCCATTTCTTTTTAGGGCAAGCTATGGGCCGTACAAAGGGCATGGCTGATCCCAATATTTTAAATCAAGCATTGAGTAATGCATTTGGTTGGAATAGCTTTGATGAGCTTATGGCAGCAGGAAAAGCAAAGTCTGGAAATAAAAAATAGTATCAATATACCCTTGATTTATAGAATAAAAGAATAATCTTGTATATCAAAGACACCCAATTTTTAGTATTAGTTTTTAGGCTAAACAAATGAATGAATGTTTGGAAATATAAACAGTAAAAACAGATGCAATACAGGGACAATGATGTTGTTAATTAACCCAAAACTAACCTGTTTATAAAAGCAACATAGCAATAATTACAAAGTGTAACCAAAACTACCGCTGGGATCCAAGCTGCATAAAAGGATAAAGTTTAATAGAAATTGTAGCTGAATAGTGAATTAACAAATGGATTCTTGAAGGTAAAGACACATAAAGAGCATAAGGTTGAATAGATTAGCTTTGTTTAACAAGAATAATGTACTAGTTTTCAATAGAACTCTAATGCATTCTGTTATCGCCCATTAGTTTTTCACAAATCGCTTTTGAATTACCAACTACAACAATGGATTAGGTAATCTTTATTTCTTAGTTTATGGATGTTACTTGTATCTTCTTTTATACAATGAGACTCTTTTATGAATATGATTGAATTCATTGGTCATGTTATGGCCTTTATCAATATATAGATGCAGATTTGAGTGTAAAGAGGAATTTAAAAGTACGCATACGATTACAAAAAATATTACCATGCCATATATACCTGATTATCAATAGTTGATCTTCTTGTACATCCTTTATGCTATCCAATTAAGACACAGTAAACACGTATTGAATAGCCTTAATTTGGTTATATTCACTCATATTTTGTTTATACGTAAATGAGCCGTATCTGCATGTATTGTTTATACAACTCATTTATCCATTTTTTACCTTAAATCAAACAGTCTACATTCCCTAAAGCGAGTAATAGATGAGAAATGTTTATATCTACAGTCCATGATTGGTTACACGATCGCCTGTTGGTTTGGTGTCAAAAAACGGCACACACAAAATTTTGACTACTTTCCCTTTTTTTCATTATCTTTTTTTTATTCTTTCTTTATTTCAGTGTCAACATGAGTGAAATGAAGAGTTTACCTACTTATTTGAATTCATACAGCAACGCAAAAACTGTACTTATTGATAATAAAAAAGAGTCCAGCGCGATCAACGAATCGTCTGATGGCACCATTTATTATTCACTTGATAGTCAACATAGTGTCAATCTCAAAAGACCGGCCAGAGACGATGAAGAACAACATGCGCCTCTATCACGTAAAACCTCAAGACTATACGAATCTTCAGAATCAGCTCCACAGTCAAATAAACCTTCATCTAAATCTGACACAAGTCAGCCAGCAGACGTACTACCGCCCTTTGTACCAACTCCACCTGATTGGGAAAAGCATCCTACTGCTTGGGCTTATCTTCAGGCCCTATCACCAAATTATGAAAACAAATACCTAGTAAAAAAGTCATCCGAAACAGAAAGAAAAGGCTATTTATTAGGAAGAAGAGCAGATTGTGATATTGTGTATGTTTCTTTTTGTTGTTGCTATTAAAATGTGTCACTGATATCTCTCATGCCAATAGATTTTCACAGACACTGATTAGCAAAAACCATTGTTTAATTTACATGGTAATTAATACAAATCCCGCTCATTCCTGCGTAGTAAAAATAATTTTATGAATAGGAAACAGGGGCAAATGCAAAAGCCAAAGGAATCAGAATATTCCTTCAGGATCTAAGGTAAATAAGAAACAAAGATATGTGATTTGAACTGATCTGATCTTATCGTAGTTCCAATGGAACCTATGTCAATAAGGAATTGGTTGGCACAAATCAAAGACGTCTTTTACGATCAGGCGATATTATTCAATTATATAGAAGTGACAAGTATTCTGACTTTGATGTTCGGCATTCATGTAATCATTTTATCTATAGCATAAACAAACATAAACCTAATATGTTTTATAGTCTATCGTATTATATTCCCAAAATTCTATGTTGCCAATGTAAAGAAAGCATGAAGGAATAAGAAAAAGAATCTAAAATGACCTTTGATAGGTATGTCAAGATGAATATGAAATGAAAGAGCTTCTGGGAAGAGGAAACTTCGCATCTGTATATCGCGCTGAAGATAGAAAGACACGGCAAGTCGTTGCAATCAAAGTGATTGACAAGTCAAGATTTGCTCTTCGGTCCAAACTATTAAAATCTATCGTAGATGAGACAGTCGTGATGATGTCAATGCAGCGACATGTAAAGTATAAATACATATGCATTTGATATAATAATTTATTAAGATATACATTCATATTATATAGCCTTGTGTTGTTGCCATTGACAAGATTTATAATGAAGAAAAGAATATTTATTTGGTGCTTGAATAGTAAGTTTACTTTCTATTATAGCGTTTTATACTTAACTCAATTTATTATAGTGTTAGAGATGGCGAGCTATTTAACTTTGTAGTTCAACGCGGACGTTTGACAGAGAGGGAGTCCCGCTTTATTTTTTGGCAGCTGTTCTACGCAACTGAGGTTTGTATACATGTTTTTTTTAAGAACCATAGCTTTCTAACCAGCTCATAGTGGCTTCACAATAACAACATTGCTCATCGAGACTTGAAACCAGAAAATAGTAAGCCATACCATCCCTCTATCATCTTTGGTAAGCTAATCTCTTCTTTTCTATCAGTCTTGCTCGTCAATAAGGCCAAGTTGCATGTGAAAATTACAGACTTTGGCCTTGCCAAGATGTTATCCAAAGGCGAAACGCTCGATAGTCAATGTGGAACGCCAAATTATGGTATATAGTTACGACATAGAATTATGTTCTTGAAACTTATGATTTTATAGTTGCACCCGAAATTCTCGAGCCGTCTGCTACTCGATCCTACGGTGTTCAGTGTGACCTGTGGAGTCTTGGCGTAATGCTGTACATTTGTCTTTGTGGATTCCCACCCTTTCATGGTAAAATTTAGAAAAAAAAGAGGAAAAAAAGTTATGTATAACCAACATATTTTTCAGATACTCCTGGTGCGCCTCCTATGAAGCAGCAAATAAAGCAGGCAATGTACTCTTACCCTTCACCTGCCTGGGATAATATTGCACCAGAAGGTAAAAACACGCATCAAGATATACAATAACACTTTTTAACATTCTTTTATTGTCAAACAGCAAAAGAGCTAATAGATGATTTGCTTACAATCAATCCTAATGACAGAGCTACCTGTAGACAGGCACTTGTAAGTGATTGAATAATAGTCACCTGTTTAAAACTAAGTTTATTCCCTTTTACTTAGGAACACGAATGGATGGAAATGGAGGCAAGTAACAAATAAAGAAATCACCGAAATCTGTGTCTCTAACCTTTTATGTATAGGCTGAAGATATGAACAAGAGAAAAAGTGCATTAGGAGACGAAGCGGTCACCTTGATAGAAGAACTTAGTTTGAATAATACTTTACCTGAAACACAACCAGCTGGACTTTCCTTGTAAAAAAGAGAGTGAGATGAAAAGAAAGGACTTGATAACCATTAGGAGTAGACCTACATACGTTTGTTTAATAAAGCAATGAGATACTTTATAAATGTTGATATTTGTTATTGTTGTGTGTGTGTGTGTGTATCACGACTATAAGAATATGCAACTAAACATTATGACTGTCCTTTTTTATGCATTTACATGAATAGTTTAATAAGGAGATGCTTTTCTGAAAACAGAAGAAGATATGTGAAGGGTGATATAGACCTTGACTTAAGCTGTGAGTTAAATCAGCTATGAAGCAGTAGAAAATATTCACTTTGACATTAGACATTACTGATCGTGTCATTGCAATGTCTTATCCTGGAGAAGGAATTGAAGGCTACTATAGAAACTCTTATATTGAAGTTAAAAAGTAAAGAGAGAGAGGAGGGAAAAAAGCATGGAGAATAACTCACAAATAAAAATAAAGGTTCCTAGACGACCAGCATGTGGGACATTACAAAGTCTACAATCTGTAAAGAGCGAGAATATATGTCTTTGCATACTGCTTGTATTAATACACTTCTTTTTTTCTCCCTTCAAATAGCCGTTCAGAAAAACTCTATGACCTATCAAAGTTTGAACATGGTAACCCAAAGACATGTACACACGCGAGTGTAGGTAGCTGACCACTAATAGCCGCTAATTATCCCTTTCTCGATCACCAAGCGCCTCCTTTTGGCGTACTTGTCGATTTTTGTAAAGACGCGTCAGATTGGTTATCCAAAAAAGCAGAAAATGTGGTTGTCATTCATTGTAAAGCAGGCAAAGGAAGAACAGGGACTGTCATTTCAGCCTTGTTGATGCATCTAGGCCAAGCAAAAGATGCAGAAGAAGCTATGCAACTATATGCAGAAAGAAGAACATTGGATATGAGAGTAAGAAAGAAAGAAAAAAAGAAGATAAAGATGAGCTCATCTTGTTTTTTTTTTTTTTTGCAGGGAGTTACTATTCCTAGTCAAAGACGATATGTGGGTTATTATTACTTTATGCTCAACCATCAGCAATTATATAATCAAAATCAAGCTATCTCTTTAAATCTGAAGAGCATAGTTATTTATACCATTCCTTCATGCGTTTCAAAAGGATTTATAATGCAGTTATATGATAATGATATCTGTATATACCGTGAGCAATTGTCGTCTATGGTGAGTATATACGATCACACGTATGCCATTCGCTATATTCGCTCACCCATGCATCCCCTCCAAATAGATAAACATCAAAGTTGAAAAAGAAAAGATAGAGATTGGACTAGATGAAATGCAACATATTTCAGGTGATATTAAATTCGTGTTTATAAAGGTAAACAATGTCTATTACATGTTCATTGGCTTTTTTTTTCATACTTGGACTCTTAGGGAAAAGGGAAAATCTTATTTAGCTTTTGGCTCAACGCTACATTTGTTCATATAATGAACAATAACTGTGTCTTTTTGAAAAAATCAGAAATTGATGTCGCGTTTCGAGACGAAGAGCACAAGGAGTTTGATAGTGACTTTTCAATAGAGTTGTTATTTTCCAAAGAATAAATAACAAGGATACTTTTTTCCTACACTTGGCCTCCTTGTTTGTGTTTAGAGTTGATAGATACCAATAGATTCAATAGTTTTTTTATTATATAATATACATTTTTAAGCTGGTGGAGCAGGAGCCGGTGCTGGTGCTGGTGCTGGCGCAGCCACAGGGATGGCTTGAGCAACGGGTGGCCTTGGAGCCCAGAATCGCCAATTAACTTGAGGCACGAATCTCGTGGGGACAAAGAATCCCTGAGCAGAACCTTTTATATTGTATTCTGGATTACTTGTATATGTACTCATGCACACTCGATGTTGATGTAATATCTATCAAGCTCTTAGATGCCTGAAGGCTTTTTTTTTCTTCGTTGACAACTTACACCGGGGCGTATACCAAGGCCCTGACAGATGTAGGATACCAGAAATGCTATAATCAGACATGACTGCATAATATACACCTCTCGATACACCTGATATTTGTGAGCTTTAGCATATACATAAAAAGTAAGTCAGACATATGTACAATTTCTTTTTTCTATGAGCATTTACAGTGATTAGCGTCAAGCGTTGTCGTAAAGCAGTATAAAAATCCTGTATGAAAGTAAACATCAAGACCCATAAAAAGCATATAGGAACCAGCCAAAGCTGCTCCTAGCTTATGCATGGAGTGATGATAAAGTGACAGAATCATGAACACGATCACGAGAATAGTCAGTAAGATCGCCCGTCCATAGCCTGGAGTGATACTCAAATCATTTTTCCATCCTAATATCCACAAGCCAAACGCAAGTCCTCCTAATCCACCAAGCAGCATCAAATAAAGCTGCACAGTGATAAACATGAAACAAGTCGCGATCAATCCAATGATAAGTGGGACAATAAAGTAAATCGTTAACCTGTTGGTGCCATACGATTGTTGTGGTTCAAAATTAGCCAGCATGATCCAGGCAACTAATCCAAGTGTGATAAAGCCTGTCAAATTCTGTGTATGTGTTCCAGCTAGTGTTCGATCCCACAAGCTTCGGAAAATGAGAAGTAAACCGCTGATGATGATGATAATACCGCCCAACATGCCTTGGACAGTCAAGTAATAGCCATCATCTAAATTTGGATAAACAAAGATATTTTATTTAAACTATCTCTCTTTGTCTCTCTCTCTTACCTAAAACAATGGCTTTATCTGGCAGATAAGCTGTCCCAGGTGGATTTTGTGGTAGGTCACCTGTAGGCGCCGTAGATATTAATTGAGCAAGGAACAATAAATATAATAAATACATTTGGTTTATAAAAGAAAAGGAGTAAATAGCAGGAAAGGAAGATGATGTTTAAGTCATGGTTGTTTAGCTGTACAGCTAAAATAGGCAACGGTTGCACACACACACTAAAGTTGGAAATATTCGTAAAACTTTCTAATGTTATTTGAAAAGAATTAAAGGTTACCAAATCTTCTTTATCTGAAATAGAGCTTCCTAACCGCTTATTGAAGCCTTATTTGATGCTTCAGTAATTCTTGAGGGACAACGTTTCTTCAAGACTTGGTTTGATTGAGTTTGCTTTTGATATAAAGCCTAAAATAATCTACTTTGACCTCCAACGTGATACACGCTCTCTCTATTTCTCTCTCTCTGAGCCATGCTTTATTTTCCATATTTATAATAATAATAAACAAATAACTCTTCTTTATTTCTTTCTATATTTGCATTGCTTCAACGCTCATATGAATAAACAGATCTCCCAGACGATATCAAAGATATCCTAAGAGGAATCACTGCTGATAATGAATGTTGTCAACAGTAACAATCACTGATGAACCCAATAGAATACAATGCAGAACAGGTCAACAATTTTTTGTTAATAACCCAACACTCCAAGTCAACGCCCCCAAACACACTTTGATCAGCAGTCGCATCCGTCTTTAACAAGATTCATCCTATAGCAACAGATACATTATTCTTGATCTATTTGAAGACTGCGACCTCGACTAGACCAATCACTTTAGCAGGATGGGTTCAAGCGGTAATCAATTTACCAGATCTCTCTAAGCGCATATTTCGAGCATACAAAAGGAAATAATAAACACAATCATACTTTAAGTGATTTCACAAAACTGGTGCATCAAGTGTTTGCCTTAAACTGCCCGTTTTTTAAATAGCGCCAGTCGGGGGAATCCAGAGCGTGTGTACTTGTTGTGATCCACCCATAAAAATGTAAACAAGACAAAAACGGATAAGAAAAAAAAACAGTATAATGGGCTTCTTTAAGTGTATTAAAAATAAAATAAAAACCTTTCCAGCCATGGCAAACACTCTTCCTCTGGTTATTTTTCCTTCTTGATTTCCCCTTTATTGAATCAACCATCCAAATTATCCTCTGTCTTTTCTCTTGCTGCTTGTGATGATGACGATGGTGATTGGTTATTTGCAGCATCGAGAAATGTAGCCTTCCATGTCTTCATTAATTGCTGACAGCGCTCCTTGATAGTACCATCTTCAAACGGATAGACACAGGCTGCCTTGACAACTTTGCCAATCTTGGTATCCTACAATGAATGTCAGCCCTTATGTCCTTTCCTTGTGTTCTCTCTCTCCCTCGCTCTCTCTTACTCTTAAAAGGTTATATGTCAGCGGTGCCTCTTCAATTTCTTTTATGACCTCTAAAATCTTGGGATAATCATCTTTTGGAATCTCGCCCTAACCAGAACAAATACCCTTGGTTTAATACTTTTTTCCCCTTTCTCAGCTTGGTGTGATATTACCTCTTTTTTGTTATATACTAAACGTTGTAACTTGTGTCTAATATGATAAACCTTTTTATACTCTGGCGTCTTTTTGATTTCCTCCCTTGTATCGTTCACCTGGGTAATAGGTGATTCTTCTTTTTCAGCCGACATCGATTTACGTCTCTTTTTTTGAGGTGCTTCTTCCGTATCTTCATCCCCAACAACCGCCTTGCGACCTCTCCTCTTTGGCTGTGTTTCTGTGGTCTTTTTGGTAACACCTCTACTATTGTTCGTCTTTCTCTTTGGAGGTTCCCGTGCCTTCCTTTTACCTTTTGGTTCTTCCTCTTCCTCCTCGTCTTCCTCTTCCTCTTCTTCCTCCTCTCCATCTTCATCACTTTCCTCTGCTTCCTTTAGTAGTGAAGGGTTAAGTGCTTGACGAACTGCTAATTCCAAATCCTTTGTCTTGAATTTCTTCGCTTTAAGGTCATTCTCAACAGTTTCATGATGAAAAGGTCTAATGGCATCTGGTCCAAAGAATCCGCTTTTTTGTATTTTTAGTCTATCTCGTTCTTTCTTTTCTTTCTTTTCTTTCTTTTTTCCCTCACACACACAGTTTTTCTTGGTATTTGAAATACTTACTAGTCTCTTGAACCATAGAAAAACACGGTATATAAAGCACCTTTTGCCTTTGACTTTTGTTTTAACACCTTGGCAGGTACATTCTGATCTGATTCAATCTACCAAGTATAGATACAGAGTTAGTCATGGTCAAGATGAGCTGTTCTAATTTACTCTTGCGGGCCACCAGGGATAGCCCTTTAGTTTAGCAAATACAATAGTTCCAGGCGAATATTCAAGTTGTTGTTGTGATTTCCCTCCTTGCTGACGCATCTTATCGTATATATGTATATATAAAGCGCGCACGCGTGAATGAATATAAGAACCTTTTCTTCTTTTTTTTAAAAATAATAAAAAAAAAAGAAGAAAAAAGAAAAAGAAATTCCCATATTAAAAAAAATTTATTATTTTTTGACTCCACTTTTATGAACTCAACCGCGCATATATCCTATAGAAACAAAAGTAAGTGAATGTAACTTAGCAACTAATTCAACAACAATGTTGCCATGGAAGGGAGCTTGTTAATTTATTTAGAATCATCTTTCATTTGTTTCTTTTAAAACTGCTTTTTTTCTATATATAACTTTATATGACAAGGATCTATTTCAACTCCGATATGCAATCCATATGAACCTTCCAAAGCAACCTCACCATTGACGGATCATGGAAAATAGGTAAAATGTGTCATGGAAGTAGAATATCTTATGGAATGTTCTTGATCGGACTAAAAATGGAAGAAATATCAGATCAGGATTTAGCGCACAACAAGATCAAGTTCCGTTATCAGTTACGTTTTTTAGGGGGGATATCCTTACTCTTTTATTTCACTTTTTTGTCTTTTGTTATCAGATCATTTCATTATATTGATTATTTGTTTTTTAACCATAAATCTTTAATTAACGGTCCAAATGGGTGCAAAAAAAAAAAAATAACATAATAAATGTCCGCCCGGATCAGATCAATCCGCTTAAACCACCTTACGGGAAAGGTAAAAGCAAAGTGATGGGTTGGAGAATCATATAAAATCACTGAAATTAATTAAACCATTCAAGAAATATTGGTCCATATGGGGCTCTTTTGAGGTATCACAGCCCCAATGGTGCAGCTGATCTAGTTCATAGAGGATGGTGAATATTACTGGAGGGAGATAAAGTAGCGTGTTGAAAGCACATCGAAAAAGAACAATGAATCAGAGATATTGTTTCCGATTGCGCGGAGGCCTCTACACATATTCAGGCAACGGATAGTATGCTGTCTAGAGAGCAGGGTATCGCAGGCATAGTTAGATACAATTAGCTAGTAACCATTCAAGACGCCGCCGTATTGAACGGCTTATTTCCTTTTTACTCGTATGTGGATTTTTCTTGTAAATATTTAGAAATACTACTGCTATACTGAATTGTACCCATATACAGTTTAAGTCACGTATTTTATAAAACTAAATCCAGAGAGACTTTCGAATGGCAGCTGTATTTAGGTATGAAGCAGTAAGCGGGACAAAGCACATCGAAAAGACATATAGTGAAATACCAGGATACCGTATTAAAGAGTAAAGCTTTATGAGAAATTAATCAAATAGGTTCTGTAATAGACAGAAAAATGGGAGTGAGATTGACTGTCACAAGATGATCCATATGTGGTGTTATGGCAAAGAACTTGACTGATACGAGAAAGAGAGATCAGCTTGCGATTTGAGTTTAATGGCACGCCATCGTATATGGTTATGGATTGATAACTAAGCTCAGTGCCGCTTAAGTGTAATCGATTATACTACTTACCTGATGTGCTAGAGATGTGGGTTTGACCATAAGATAGACGTCGGCTCCATGTGGTGATATTGATCTTCATTATTCAGCGGTAGACTGTACTGTCTCAAGAGCTTATAAGGCGACCTTCTATGTAAGAGTTGAACCTATTGTTGAGGTTACCGCAGGTAACGGTTTGGTTGATACTGAGAGCTGGCAGAATCATCGAGTTTGCATTGTTGCCAAGAGAGGGCGGTAAGCACTAGCTGTGCATTACAGTATTCGTATTTTACGAATCAAAATTAATTTTTAGATATTTGCTTATCTTTATTGGACAAAATAAAAATGGAAATTCAGATACAAAAGAAAATTAGTTTTCAGATATGCTAAATGACCAAAGTGATATTCTTTACCTGTAAGCGTCCTTAAACTAGTTGTTCCGTTTCAGGATATATAATAAGGCGCATTTTAAAAAGGAAAAGTGAAAAAAAGGTGAAAGAAATAAAAAGGAATAATTGTTTTTTTATTATAACAGCAATTCACCATTTCATCATTCGTTCTTAAGCCATAACCACAATAGTCATAACATGAGTAAGACGTGATCTTGGTTATTATCAATCTTTTCCCTATTTTTCGAATTTGTACTACAATAAAACAACTGAATAAAAAAATGTTGGTTTTCATCTTCTTGAGTGACCCGAGAGACAAAGCAGTAACAAGAAAGGGGCGAGGAACGCGGGAACAGCCAAGATCACTTACTCGTGCAATGTGTTCAACGCTTCATACACTCGTGTTTACATAACATTACACTTGGTAAGCCGTAATCTTGGTTGTTGATCCAGAGAAGATACACTAAATTTTGTAGAAGTCGCGGAGGACAGGCAATAGTAGTGCTCAAAAATATCGCAGGAAGGCCAGAAGCCATGAGCAACTATGTTGTCCACTGAGACACCTGCTTGTGCTGCAAGAGTGGCAGCGAGTCCACGAGCCTTCAGTACAGGGGCTTGAGCCGGTTTTGCCACTCTGACCATAATCTGTTTGATGCGGTGAGAGATGCGCTCGGCGCCAATGGAAATTCTGTAGCCTTGTATGAAGCGAAAGAATCGATGTAGTTGTTGATTAGGAAAGATCGGATGTTCCGTAATACGAGTAGAGTAGGCGATGCGGGATTTGCAGGCTTCAAAAGCTGTCACAGGATACAGGAGGAGGTTGTAGTGTGGGTGAGTAGTAATAGTCTTGACGATGCGTTGGCTGCGTCGCTTCTCCTTGGGGGCGATGATGATGAGGGAAAACACGCTGTCGGACGAAATACTGGTGGCATATAAGTCGGCAAGCTCAGGTCGGAATGGCGAAGGAAGCCTGCCATGGCTAAGAGCCAGCAGGTCTTGACGGTTAATTGTTCCTCAGTGATGGTGATATTTGGGCCCAGAGTGAGAAGAGACTCGATTGCTGGTGAAATGTTGTACGTCCAGTGTTTCGTGGGCTGGATGGTTTGAGAACGGAGGGCTTTCATAAACTCCAGGTAAATCGTGGAAGTGCGAATGTCGTTTCGATCGTCTGCGGAGAACATAGAGAGGACTGCAGAGGCATACGTGTGGAGTGTAGAGACTTCAATTTGCGAACGGTGTGTTGGTCGGCAAGATATTTGGCTAGCTGCATAGGTGAGGAATCGAAAGGATCATAGTCCTAGAGGTTACACTTCAATTTGTAGGCTTGCTGGCGATAACCGTAGTGGGGCTTGGTGCGACGTTGGGAAACGTCGATTATCTTGCGTGCACCAGGAGTGAGGAGTGCCCGTCGTTGTCTCTTGCTTACAGGTTCCAAGCTGTCATGTTTTGACATACTTAAAGTACTACGCCAAGCCGGCTAAACCTTTAGAAATGAATTGTAAAGAACTGTACCTGAATCCGATTGGTTACCAACCTATACAATAGCCATTAACCTTTGAACTATTGTTCGGCCTCGTTGACTCAAGTCTCTTTCTTCTGGTCAATTTCAAGTATAAACATCTCACAGAATTTATAAAGCTGAACACATTAGGTCGCCTTGAAGTGTCTGTAACATCGTCGTTTACTACAGAGAAAAATATAAAACATATCAGATAGCATTCAAAGGAAAGCGTATTAACAATACCTTGACTATATAGATCAACTTTCTTTGTTCTTTTTGAATCTCAATAGCTATCGCAAGCACGGAGAGGAACATATGGAAATACCATTCTTCGAGCCTTTCTATAAGATAAAGCTGTGACTATCAAAACCTTCAGGTATATTACCTATTAGACCGCAAAGTTCAGTCAGTTCTATCCTAAAGTCAACGTTTTTCTCGATTAAAAGATAGCTCACATTACTTCTAGCCTCTATTAGTGATAATTAAAAAGCAAACATGGGCAATGATTGGACGATCCAGTGAGCGGAGGGGTGTGCTGACAGAAATGAAAACTACGTCTGCTATGTAAAACAAAGCTAATGCTGTCTGAAGTGACCATTCTTGGTCATCAAATATACACTGCCAGCAGCAGTGTCGAATGGCATTAAAGTTCAAGCCTAGGACCTTTAAATAATACTCTCATATGAAGCAACAAGCTTTGTAATTGCGCTTTTCAATTTCAGCTGTAAGGCTGCATAAGATAAAGCAAGTCACTTTTCAAATTTTTTTCTTGCTTTTCTTCTCCATTGACCAAAAAGTATATAGATGGTATCCAGCAAATCAAAAGAAGGCAGTGGTGGATCTGCTTTGAAACGACTCAAAAAATCACTTGTAGCCGCTGGTGTAGTTGGACCACAATCCAAATCAAATCGATCAAAAAAGGATCGCAAAAAGGGAAAGCCAGTAACAGACAAGATCGATGTTGACAAGAAGCTGGCTCATATCAGAGGCGAATTCAACCCTTTTGAAAACAAAGTCCAACGTCAAAAGTTTGAGATCTTGGGTAGAAAGCTCAAGGGTACTCAAGGCAAGCCTGCTCTTAGCAAACAGATTGGTGAAGAAAACGTAAGGATACATAAAAACTAAGGAAGCATGATATACTAATCAAAAGAGGGGGAAATAGCGAAAGAAAACATTGTTGTTGGAAATGAAAAATAAGAATCGTCATGGTGGTATTATCGATAAACGTTTTGGTGAAAGCAATCCACACTTGACGCCCGAAGAAAAGATGCTGGAGAGATTTACAAGAGAAAAGCAAAAGACAGCACGTAGCTCCATGTTCAATTTGGAAGATGATGAAGATATTTCACTTACTCACTACGGCCAATCACTTTCAACCATGGACGACTTTGATGATGCTGGTCTTGGTCTCAGTGACGAGGATGAGAGCGGACAGATGGACAAGAATGTGGTATCCAAATTGCACTTTGGTGGATTTGGTGATGAAGAAGAAGAACCAGAACATAAACACAAGTCAAAGCATGAAGTCATGAAGGAAATTATTGCCAAGAGTAAAATGTACAAGGCTGAGCGTCAAGCAGCCAAGGCAGAGGATGAAGAGCTGCGTGAGACCTTGGATGATGAACTGAAAGATATTCGTGGCCTTTTAGAGACTAAACCTGCTCGAAAGCCCTTACCTTCTCAGACCTCTTTGTTCAAGAAGGTTGAGGGAGAGAACAATGATAAGGACTTGGAAGATTACTCCGATTATGACACGGCCCTCTTGGAATTGGCAACCGATCGACGTGCAATGGCTACAGACCGTACCAAGACAGAGGAAGAAATTGCCTTGGAGGAAAAAGAAAAGTTGGAAAAGGCAGAAAGAGCTAGAAAGAGGCGTATGGAAGGACTTGACTCTGAAGATGAAGAAGAGGTTGATAAGAAGGGCCGCAAGAAGAGAAAAAATGCTCCTCAGGGCGATGACCTCGAAGATGATTACTTGGAAGAATTAGAAGATGAAGTTGATCGACTTGGTAAAGGTCTGACACTTGAAGGCATTCAAAATGGTGAAATGGATGAAGATGAAGATGAAGAAGACGAAGAAGATGAAGAGAGTGAAGATGAGGATGAAGAAGAAGAAGAAGAAGAAGAAGAAGAAGAAGAGACTGATAATGAAGACATTGAAGGTAGTGATGACGAAGCTCCTGACTTTGGTGACGATGACGGTGATGACATGAATGAATTCGGACAAACCGGCACTATCAAAAAGAAACCCTCGGTTCAGAGTAACAAACAGTCAACCGCAAATGAAAAACGTGAAATTCCATATACATTTGAATGCCCAGAAAGTCATGATTCTTTCTTGTCGATACTTGAAGGACTTGATGTACAGGATGTACTTGTAGTAACCCAGCGTATTCGAGTTCTCTATCACGTCAAACTTCATCCCGAGAATAAACAGAAACTGTCGGCCTTTTTGGGTGTCTTGGTCGATCATGTGGCGTATCTTGCATCAACCGTTAGCCCATTACCGAGGGAAGTGCTAGAGAAGCTTAGTGTTCATATCTTTGAATTATCACAACAAGCGCCTGAAGCAGCAGCCGATCTGTTTACAGACAAATTACGAAAGATGCAAGCTGAAATGGGTAAAAAAATCAAATTTGATAACGGCTCATCCTGGCCCGATGTCGAAGATTTGATTTACCTGAGGACAATTGGCCAAATATTTTCTACATCTGACTTGCAGCATCCGATTGGCACACCGGCAACATTGTTTATGTGTCACGCGCTTGCACAGTGCAAGGTTCAAACGGAAGTTGATGTGGGACGAGGTCTGTTCCTTACACAGGTACTCTATGAGGTAAGTGTGTAACTACGAGAGAAGAAGCGTGCGCTAATGGAACAAACATAGTATCAAAAAGTATCTAAGCGATATGTACCCGAAGCCTTGAACTTTTTATCCAAGAATTTAGTAATGCTAGCACCCAAAGATACCTTTGCCTCAGATTTCCCTGGTCTCTTCCCATTAGATAAACTAGGTCAGATGCCTATCAAGAATATAAAAGGCAACGATATCGAACATATTCCAAATGTTACACTAGATGAATTGAGTACAGAAACAGAGAGTGACGACCATTATCGACTTTCACTCATTCAAGCAACATTACGCCAGTTAGAGAAATATTTACAATTATATGCATCCACTGCTGCATTCAAGGAGGTATTTGAGGGCACATTAGATGTGATAGAACGTTTGAGCTCGCTAGAATGGCATAAAGACATTAAGGTAGATTAGAAGCAAAACATGGTAAAGATACACTAACACAAAGTCTAGAATTTGCTTGATACATTAAAAGGCCGCCTGGAGCGACAGATTAAATTCTGTATAGAGAAAAGAACAAAGACACCTCTCAGAATGCAACAACACCGACCGATACCGATCGCACAACATCTTCCCAAGTTTGAAAAAGCTTATTCGATGGATCGCCATTACGATCCAGATCAGGCTCGATCTCAACTCCGCAAATTGGAATCACAAGTGAAGAAGGAAAAGAAGGGAGCCATGAGAGAATTACGTAAGGACAACCAATTCATTGCTAGAGAAAAAGTCAAGGAACGTAAAGCAAAGGATGAAGAATACAACAAGATGATAAATAGTGTTATGCACATTTTAGAAGGAGAACAATCAGAAAAGAAGCAACTCGAACGGGAAAAGAAAAAGAAATGATAAATGGGGTTAAACTAATAAATCTTCGATCTAAACATGATGTGTTACTACTTACCTTATATGGCATTTGCTACCCAATCGCTGGCTCCATGACGATGAGACCTAATTAGCGTCATTTTTTATAATTCTGTTTGGAAAGTGCATCATTTTTTTCGGAAAGGAGTGGCGTAAACTTGTGCTTTATGTTTGTATATTTTAAGGAGAAAACCCAATAGATTTTTCTTTTTTTCTTTTTTTTTTTTTTTTTCGCCACTAATTGACAGGTTCCAGAATTAGGCTTAGGCTGCAAAAAGCTGGTTAAGAAAATGTGATATCACTCAACAAAAAGCAGATTCTAATTCCGGTAAGTACATATGACATCATATTCGCATTGGCCCTTTCTAAACTTCTTTTTTTTTTCTCGCGTGGTTTGAATTTTGTTTTATTCTATCAGAGTATAAAAAAGCTAATTCTTTTTCTCTCCTTTTTTTGTTACTTCTTTTTTTCCCTTTTCTTTTTCCTTGTCTTTTTAACAAATTACAACCGACAATAAAAATGATGACTGAAGGTAAAGACATAAAATCTCATTGGGGGTATAAATGATTGACATGAGGAAAATAGAAAACACTGTTGGACCACTTGCTACACCTACACGCTTCTTGATTGAAAGTGGTGAATGGAATTTGACACCTAATTTTATTCATGAAATCAACCCATTTGATTGCAATATGACAAGATCACCTGGCATTTTAACAAAAGAACACAAATGGTCAAACATATCTACATCCACAACATCCACAACATCTACAGCATCTACAGCATCCACGACATCTCCTGGCACTAGTCCAAAACAAGAATCTATTTTATCACCTCCTACACCACCCATGTCATTAAGCCAAAGTCCTACCAATTCATCTGTTTCATTGTCCATTAGCCCAAGAAATAGTGTAGATGATTCGATTCAGCAAGATATTGTACGACGTAACTCGAGTACAAAGAGAAAAAGAAGAGAAGCCGACGATGATGAAGAATATAAGCCTAAATCAACAGGTGGCCGAAAGAGGCGTATTGTCTTTGAAGGAGAAGATGCCGAAGACAAACGTAAAAAGTTCTTGGAACGTAACCGAGTAGCTGGTAAGTTCACACAAATGATCTATTTACTGAAAGGGAAACTGATCCTATGATATAGCTTATAAATGCCGTCAAAAGAAAAAAACATGGATGCAAGAGCTCGAACAAAAAGCAGAAATATCCACAGCCCGCAATGAAGAACTTCGAAACTTAGTAACTCAATTAAAAGAAGAAAGCATGTATTTACGTAATTTACTCTTGACGCACGGTAATTGTGATTGTGAATCAGTGCAAGCTTATCTTCGACGATCATCAGCACAGATCACTTCAAGAAGAGAATCAACCAGTAGTCAATTTATGCCATATTACAATACACCATCCACTGGTTTAACTCCTTTCCTCAACACAGTCATTAATAAGTCAGACAATAGACTTGATTATTTTTCATCTACGCATCATCCTATGGCTTAATCATTCTTTCTTTTTCTTCCCCCCTTTCCCTTCCCTTTTTTTACTTTATTTATTATGCTTTACTATTGATCCACCAAAAAAAAAGAGAGAGAGTGTGTGTGAATGTATGAAATGTATGCCCTGCTACAATAACTTTTTCCGTGTAAATAAACAAAAAATTTTTCTGGTATTATTTTTTCGAAAATGTTCTATCAATTTTTTTTTCTAGAATAGAAAATCTAACATTTGATTGGCTGATTTATTTATATGACATAATACTATTCATGCAACCAGTGTGAAGTCAAATTGTTTAAAAGTTATTAGACATCAACCAATACTCTGTACGCCCCTTTCTTCATCCACCCCCGACCTTTGTGACGTAATTTCATTTTTATATCATGTACACGCGT